GTGCACTCACCTTCTATGGTGGACCATGGTGAGGCCTGTTCTGAGTGGAACCTGTCCTGTTAAACCGCTGTATGGTCTCGGCCGCCGTGCTGCTGCTCAGTTTCAAGGTGTTGGACTCTTCTTATAGCCTCGGACATCTGCATGTAGAGCAACAAGAGTATTGAGAGTTCTTTGCCGTGAGGTAAACGTCCAGTGACCAGTATGAGAGAGTGTGAGAGCGATGACACCAAATCTAACACACCCAGTCACACCTGAGACCTTGTAGCGCTAACGAGTCACATGACACCGGGGAAGGAAAATGGCTGACTGGGCCCAATTTGGAAATTTTCACTTACATACTCACTTTTGTTGCCAGCGGTTTAGACATGAATGGCTGTACTGAGTTATTCTGAGGGGGCAGTAAATGTACACTCTCATACCAGCTGGACACTGACCGCTTTACATGGCAGCAAAGTGTCATTTCTTCAGTGTTGTCCCATGAAAAGCTATAATCAAATATTTGCAGAAATGTGACATACTGTCTGTGATGCACCGACTTGACAAATGAAAAATCAATAAACCAATGCATACCATGGACTCTGATCAAGGACCAGCTGCCCCACATGCACACAAACCACTTTTATCAACTCAACTAGGAGATTATGAATAAAAGCTCTGAAGCCTTTCTGTGACAAGAGGCATGAAAACATCTCTTCTAACAGACAGATTGTTCTCCAGATGTGCCCGGCAACCCCAAACACCATCATGTCGGCCACAGCTAAGAATGATCGGTGTATTAGCATGTCAGATGTGAGAGCAGCGTCCACACACCGGCGATGGAGGCTGAAGCGTCCCACGCAGGGCCGCCGTCGTGACATCGCCGGGCTGCTAATGAACACTCGGTGCTTTGGTCTCGCTCTCCTTCTTCTCCCGGCTCTTCGCTCTCCACCTCTGGGCCTCTCCTCTAATCATAAACAGACACATTCCTGCAAAAGTGAAGCAGACTGTAAAGCAGAGCTCTGCCAGGTTTCAGGAATGTGATCGCAGCAGCTCCGAGCTGCTCCAGCCAGCTGATGAGGAAGCACAGACGGAGTTTTTATTTTAAATCTAAGATGCACAGGAATAAACAGCAGTCCCCGTTTTACTAAAATAACAACAGAAATGAACTTTAGCAGTTTATTTGTCACTGACACGTGTGGGAATATTTTCCACCGAGCACACCGTGACCCAGTTCTATCAGTGGGAATGCACAAATGGCTTATAATACCTGGAAGAGTAAAAGCCCGCTTTACTGTTGTCCTTGTGCTGGATGTCTCCTGAGTGGCCTACTTCCACGTTAGCTAATGGTCCATTTTCATGTTCTTTTCATGTATGTACGTGTGTGTTCTCCTCTACAGTCTCCACGGTGGCACATAGACCTGCAGCCCTGGGCCGGCCACAGTCCGTCTCTGGAGGCAGAAGCTAAAAGGTTCCTCGGTTACATCACAACCCCGCAAGTGAGTTTGAAATCTCCTAAAATCATTTCCTGCTGCATAAAACCAGATTCATTTTACTTCATGCATTTGCAGATTGCACCATATTAGCAGCAGTGGAGTTTAACCAAGTGCTCCGCAGGTTGAAGGATATAAATCTATTTATTCTAAACAATGGGAAGTTCATGGTTATTCACAGCTACAATTTTTAGTGCTATTTTTATAAAAGTATGATCATTTAAACTACATTTTTCTGGCCTTAATTCTACATGAAATCACGTCCATTTTTGGCCTCTTGTGTCTTATAAAATGATTTTTACATATTTACATGTGTAGCTTTAGTCCAACCACTGAACCGGTCTTTCTGATGATTCTGTTCAGTCGGGCGATGTTCCTCTTACTGGAGCTGCACCAGCACACCACAGCGTACAGGAGGGCACTCGCCACCACTGTCTGATAAAACATGTTTAGAGCAGATGTTAAAGGAGCTCAGCCTTCGGAGAAAGTCCAGCCTGGACTGGCTCTTCTTGTAAAGATGGTCTGTGTTGGCTGTCCAGTCCAGCCTATTGTCCAACACTACTCCCAGGTACTTGTAAGACGGTACTATCTCCACACTGTTCCCCTCTATGTGGACTGGCTGAGACGTCTTTCTAAAGTCCAGAACCATTTCTTTGGTTTTCGGGACATTTAGCTGCAGCTGGTTCTTCCTACACCAAATCGCAAAGTCCTCCACCAGGACTTTAAACCCACAACTTTGTCATATCTGCATATAGACTGAGCAAATAGCACACAAGTGTTAACAAATAGGCTTTAAACATGCTGCTGGGCCTATTTAGATTCCACTTTTAATGCTAAGCTACGCTAATGACTGACTCCAACCATCTCGTCTAACTTTCAGCACCAGATAAATGAGCTCGTTGCTGCTTTGAGTTTTGTTATCTGTAAGTCTGTGACAGCTGATGAGCTCTAAACTGCCCAAACACAGCAAACACCTGCAACACGAGCCGATGTGGAGGATTTGCAGCGCAGCCGTGAGGATGCGACAGCATTAAGAGAGTGTGAAACCGAACACAGGCTGCTGCTGCTCCTTGGCACAGCTTTCCCCGGAGAACTCGTCTTCACTGGATTTTATTTTTAGACCAGAGCTTTAATTCCAGCACCTCATAACACCTCGATCACGGATCTACAAGTCCCCAGTTGCCCGGTTTTGACCTCGTTCAATTTTAAGCGCGCTATATTTTTAGTTTTCCTGCGTTCTTCTATTCGTGTTGTTGGCTGCGCTTCACGCTTTGCTGCAGGCCATGTTCCACGAGGAAGCACGCAAATCTGGAATCAGATTCTCACTTGCTCGAGCCAAACATGAACCAAATATTGGAACCAGATGCACGAATGCGGCATCAAAACTACAGTTGCTATTATTTGCCTGGAAGTCCGGTTTTCTTGTTGTGCCTCCGTCAGCACGTGACCGAGCCACGCCGGCAGCTCCTTCACATTCCGCTCAGCCGGAGGAGCATTCGTCTTGCTCGACAGCACTGCTCGTAAATTCATTATTCTATTGATTACCATACAGATGGAGCTCACAGCCCCTCTATTCAGACTTAATCAATGAGATGTTGGTGTTTGTTTCTCGGCCCATATCGGCATTAATTACGACAATTTGATTAAGATGTTCTGCATCACAATGTGAAAATTATCTGTGAAAGCCTGGAATCCTGTTTTCTTTGTCCCCTGTTGTGAAAGACATAGTTTTATATTCACTGTCCAAAAACATAGTCCGACTTGTTTTTTTTTTTGTTGGAATGCATGTGCTGTGGTGTTTTATTGTAATGAAATTGGCTCGGGGGATAAATCAGCGTCTTATCTGTTCCCCCCTCACACAATATAGCCAGAACACACGGCACCCCACTCCAACATGACTAAGCCTCATTCTATATCTTTCACAAAGCAGAAATTCAGCTCATAATGAATTAGCGCCGGAATGTGTGTGTACATGAGGGAAAAGGAAGGACGAGAACAGAGAGAAGAGAGATTGTGCGGTGTGTGTGTTAGTAGGAAGCTGTTGGAAAGGGAGCTGTCCATCACTGACGGTGACAGCGAGGGCGGAGGGAGAGCTGGCGGAGCGGGGAGACGGCAGCATCCTCTGTAGCCGTAATGCTGACTGACACAGTGCCTGGTGGAAGTGCTGCTCGCGGAGACGGCCGGCGACACAATCGGTGGCAGTCAGCGGCTTCCACGCAAGCAGCGGACGAGAAAGGGATAATGTCTGACTAGTTCAGTGACTGTGTCCTCAACAGGAACATTCTCTCAGGTCGTTTTATTTATTTATCTTTAATAAATCTACAAATGTGAAGTGACAGAAATAATCAGTTTTGCACGAATGCTTTCATCCGGAACACGTTACCAGTGATGGACATAATAAAGCATATTCCAAATCATTTAAACAGATTAGCGCGCCACCCCGAGCGTACAGTACGATTCTGGAGCTCTCTGCAACAAAGACACGTCGGGGAGACTTTTTATTTCCCGTCAAACGGTGACACACGGCCTTGACTCAGCTGGTTCCTTCCTGCCTGACCTGTCACTGAGCGATCTGATTAGAGCGAGACATTTAAAGGCCACAGCGAGAAAAGAACGCCTAAGAGGTTCTTTAGAAGCCGCTAAAATCTGGAGGCAACCGGGGTTTCTGGCCTCAGAATGCAAACGTGCATAATGAGCAGCTCCAAATGTCAGTTTTAAGTGAACAATAGACGAGACGAGGTTGGGTTGCTTTTCATTTGGGCATTAAATCACAGTCGTCACTGTTTTCTTCCACTTTGACATAAAACATTTTGTGCGAGCTCCTTCTTGGAAACACCAGATGACACACCGCGGACAACACACACATTCACACACATTCACACACATTCACACACACACGCCATCGTGTTTGAACTCGAGCAGCGAAGCCTCAGATTTCTGCCTGATACCGCCGCGCCTGAGCCAATATTGTTCCTTCCTCTGCAAACTTGGTCTCTGCAGCAGACAGAGCTTAAAGAAACCAGACAGCAAACATTTGATCAGCAGCTTGTGGAACTGTAGATGTACAACACGCCGACATGTATATACACGAGTACGCACACAGTTTATGCAGCCGCACGCCTCATGCAGCACGAACACGCAGCGCTGGACACGTTCTGGAGCTGAGAAATGCTGAATTAAAGAATAACGTTTCAGCACAATCCTGTGATTATTACCCTCCTATTATCTCTGGGGGGCTGCACAGTGGAGCGGTGGTTAGCGCCGTTGCCTCACAGCTAGAAGGTTGCCGGTTCGTGTCCCGGTGAGGACACCCAAGAACTTTCTGCGTTGAGTCTCCCCGGGTTCTCCGGCTTCCTCCCACAGTCCAGAAACATGCTGAGGTTAATTGGTGATTCTAAATTGTCCGTAGGTGTGAATGTGAGTGTGCTTGGTTGTCTGTCTCTAAGTGTAGCCCTGTGATAGACTGGTTACCTGTCCAGGTGAACCTGCCTTCACCCTGAGTCAGCTGGGATAGACTCCAGCCCCCCATGACCCTAGTGAGGATTAAGCGGTGTATAGATAATGGATGGATGGATGGATGGATGGATTGTCTTTTGGGTCAGTTTGACCCCATTCAATGTTTAACGTCTCTAAATAAGTCATTCACATATTTTTGGGGTGGTTTTTTTTTCAGTTTTATTTAAAGGGCTATTTACACATAAACTTGGGCAACTACTTTATGATATTTTCTGGAGGTTTAAATTGCTGAGGTCAAATTGAACCCAAGGATAAAAGATGTCAGTAAATGTGAAGGTAACAGGAGGGTTAAAAGGGATTTTTGCTGGGAAAAAAAGCCAGAATTGGGGAAATTTGTGTCTCCTTTGTTTCAGTAGTTTTTTGAGAAAGACATCCTGCAGACATGTACAATAACTACGTGTGTTCAGATCTAATTATCTGGCAGACATGATACAAAGACTTTGCCTGTAATATTAGATTTAAACACATCAGAGTACAGTGGACACCTGTTGGAAGGCTGTGCCTGTTCCAACCACTGACTTCCTGATCAGGAAGCCTCATCCCTCACAAACCCAGGACTGAACCAGAGACCTCCAGATCTTCCGTCTGCTGCTCTCCTGACTGAGCTACTCCAGCACACATGCTCTGGTCATGACCTTACAAAGTTGTTGTATTGAACCGTATCGACTTTTCAGCTTATGAAGTAGATGAAGAATAATCTCCTCCTTGTCTACCATCTTTCTTTGCATCATGACGACCTTGCATATCATCGTACAATGAAGCCAAACACATTCTAACCAGGGTCACGATCAGTAGCCGTTTACAGAGATTTATACAACATGTGTTGGGATGTTTTGAGAAAAAGACGTTCATCATGTTTGATGTCCTGCCTGGTTAGACAAAAGGCCGAGTCGTGCTTTTTGAGTCGTGGTGTCCGAGCTGACGCAGAAAGCACACAGTTCTGTCCATACAGCAGGCCAAGCGTCAGTCTGCTGTGTGGACGACTGCCTCTCAAACCAAACACAGACAAACACTCGGAGATCTTGCGGATGTTTTCTAAAAGGCTGCGACGCAGAAAGCACACAGTTCCGTCCATACAGCAGGCCAAGCGTCAGTCTGCTGTGTGGACGACTGCCTCTCATACCAAACTCAGACAAACACACGGAGATCTTGCGGATGTTTTCTAAAAGGCTGTGACTTTGCGCTTATAACAGGATGTGGCAGCTGGTCACAGATTGGGCTGCTGCACCGTGTCAGTCTGACTTTCCCAGAGCTGTGCTGAGCATCGTGGACGGACACAGCACAGGACTTCTGGACTTCAGAACTTGGGCACCGTAAATGGAAATCACGTACAAATCAAAGCATCTTTAGGTCCAGCAGTGAAATCCACCTTATTTATCCATAGATTACACAGAGTCTGTCCTCATGACGAGCATTTCTGTCCAACTAATCGAAGCAAAATTAGCCAAATCGCTCACACAAACCCTGCTGTCCAATTCATGACTATTTTCACATGGTCTCTGGAGTTATAAGATATATACATGTAGTGACAGGATGAGCGGCTTTGAGAGACAGAATGTTCAGATGCTCCTGTTTGCATTTTCTTCTTTCTTTACAAAAGCAAGATGTGGGAGCATTGTGTTAGCACCACAAAGAGTCAACAGTCAGCAAAACTCACAGATAACACAAACACAACCTTGACAAGCTGCTCCTCGTCGTCTGAAGTGATTGCTCTATGATGTGTGTGTGTTTATGTGTGTGTCCAGGTGTCGTGTGCGTCGCTACCTGGTGAGGACGGAGCTGCACAGGAAGCCTCCGCCGGCGGCTGGGCTGTGTGCCTGGATCCCCGGTTCAGCCTGATCCACAGGATACAGAGCAAACACTGCAGAGTTTACTCTTTTGGGTGGGTACGGACAAACACGCACGCAACGCCGAGTCCGAGTTCTGACGACGCAACAGGTGTTCAGAACATCTGGTGCCGTGACAGACGATGAGATATGTAGTCACAGCCGTCATAGCTGCAGCCTGTACTCCCAGGAAAATGCAATTATTTATTTTTTTAATCAAAGAAATGAAAGCTGTTTTCCACACAGCAGAGCAGGGAGAGCATCTCGATGACCCCTGCCAGCCTCGTCTTTTCATGTCGTCACATTTCAGGGACTAATTGGCCACCGAGGCTGTTTTACATCGGATCTGTCTTTGTGTCTTTACTCTGAGACATTCCCTCACATCTTTACATGCAGTTCTCTTTATTTCATTGAGTAACTCTATGGTAAGGGTGCAGATAATACTCACTCAGCCCAGCAGTCACATCCACTCCACCTCGCCTTCCTCTTGCTGAGTGGCAAGTAATCTGGAGTCCAGTCAGCCGGACCACCAAGGTATTTGACTTTGAAGACTGGAGAGTCAATCACTCCCAGTTGGCTTCGTGTCGTGGATCAGCTTGGCCTGGTTCTGCCCCGCTGGGTCTGCAAGGTGCAGCCGAGGTCTGAAGGGATTTTTTCCGCAGAGAGAGAGAGCTTATTAATTTGACTGTTGAGAGACAGCACAGGTGTGCCGGCATCAAGGCGGGCACGGCTCGGATACCGATGTTTTCTGGCTTCACGATTCTCCGAGGAGACGAGGTCAGAGGTCAACCGCAGAGAAGCACGTCTGATATCCTCTGGCCGACTGACAAGGACGGCTGCTCAAGCAGACGGGCTGCACGCTCCGAAGAGAAAAGGGACGCTATTATGCATCTCTGTGATTTATGCAAACATTTAACACTTGACCTGGATATCAGCTTGGGGAAAATGTGACTTGCTGCTTTGATTTTTCCAAAAAGCCGCATTACCATTTTTTTCCTCCTATCTAAATGATCCCTTAAGACCCCTGGAATGAATTCAATTTACACTGAGTCGCCCCTTAACTCAGGCTAATGCAGTAACAGCGAGTTGACCCAAAAAAAAAAGAAAAGGAATTCTGGAAAAAAACACACAAAAAAAACAGAAACTTCATGAGTAACAAAAGAAATGTCCTGAGAGCCTGAAGCAGCAGTTAATCAAGTCAAACTGAAGTTCCTCCTCGTGTCCCCTATCTGACCTAGATTTATCACTCTCACACACACACACACACACACACGCATGCATAAACTTCATGGTCATACTTGTGAATCTCTGCCAGGTATGCTGAGTGTCCTGCTCTCAGGAGACTTGTGCTCTGCAGGAGAAACTCACGAAGCCCTCCACTGCAGTCTGCTGCCGCTCACACAAACCGGATCCAGTATCAGGAGCTGTTAGTGTATGTCTGCGTATGCCGACTATGTACACTTGTGCGCATAGTTTGGTGTGTTTTCCGGCCTGTGCGAGGATCTCATTTGCATGCTGTTTAACGAGCCGTGGACGGCTGTGCCCGGGCAGGATGAGCAGCTGCTCTCTGATTGGTCTGTCACATGTTGGCGTGGAGTAAAAAGGGGGGCTGCAGGATGTTTTTCCACATGAAAGACTGATTATCCACCTTTTCACCTCCCCTACTCCAACTACAGCCGCTCTCCTCCTCCTCCTCTAACGCCGGCTTCAGTCTCAGCACCTCCGATGCATGTGGGAACAATGTAGATGCTCGCAAAGTTTATCTGCGAGGATGAATCATTGCTATAAAAAGAAAAAAAACAGTGGTCAGTTCAAAGCAGGGAATGAACCTGCGAGTTCTCTCATCTGCTGCGTTTTTACCATAAGCTGGGGAATGTGTGATGCTGCTAGTAGAGGAACAATAGGGCTATGACACACACAGTGGATCCAATCGGTGCTGCTTTGTCCTCTTTGGCTGAAGTGTCCTTCGAACCTAAATTAAGAAATTATAATAATTATCACACACACTTATCATTAGAGCTAATTGTTTTCCTGCTGATGTCATCATATAATCAAGATAGAAAGCTCGTCAAGCATCTATAAGTGTGATGCTGCTGTCGTCTTCACTGGGGCCTTTTATAACTTTGTCATTTTTAATCAAAAGCACGTAGCAAGAAAACACATGAGAAACTCCTCACGACGTTCAGATCAGACACAGATACACACAGTGCAGTCTGAGCATGCTCCACAAGAAATCCAATTAATCTGCAGACATCCTGACATGTAACGGGCGTAATTAAGAAACATTAACGACAACTTAATTCCATTTTTGACTTAACAGAAAAGCACAACTGCGTCTAATGATGTTAATGGTTAAGTGCAGCGTATGTCAGAGAGAAATGTTTTTCTTTTACTCCACTTCACTTATCTGACAGCTGTGGCTACTTTACAGCAGGTTTTAGGAGCTGATTAGGACATAATGAACAATATAAAATACAGTAAATGAAGCCACCTGGCAGTAAAATGAGCTGTACCTCAGTCAGCTACTGTGTCTAGATGCTGCTTGTATGTTAATGCAACAGGACTAATATTAATCCAACAGTATAACGTATAAAAACAAACACTGACGGAGTGCTTAATGAAGACTTTTACTTCATACACTTTACGTGCATTGTCCTGGTAATGACAGTGACGACCTTTACTCGTAATCAAGTGTTTTAAAACAGCGGTTTGCTCATTTTACTTCAGTAAAAGAGGGTTTTATTTCCCCCCATACTACTGTTCTAATGTGCCATCACAGAGCACCAGTGAGCCAGAATGCACAGCACCAGGGTCCTGGAAGTGAAGCAAAGTCATCCGTCACTAATTTTGTTATTTACACCTGCGATTTTCTTACTGGATGTCAAAACATCTGCTGTGAGAGGACAAAAACCCTCTTGTGCTGCTTCACTGGAACACTTAATATAAGTGAACTATAATTAATGTTATTAATTACACGTGCGCCGTTCCCACTTGACAGGTACATTTCTTTTTTTTTTAAAGCCTACAGGGCGGCAGTGATGATAATTAACTGAGAACTCAAGTACTGTACTTGAGTATAGTTTTGAGGTACTTACGCTTTACTTAAGTGTTCCCACTTCAAGCTACTTTCCACTTCTGCTCCGCCGCGTTTCAGAGAGGGATATTCTAATTTGTACTGCAATGCATTTATTTGAAAGCTACGGTTAAGATGATGGTTTTACACGACGGATGATATAACAAGGTTTTAAATACTTCACATTGTTAAATATAAAGCAGACATTTTCAGCCTTTTCGGCAGCGTGCGGTCGGACTCACATTTCAGATGTGCATCAGTTGTGGACAGTTTCTCCAAAAAGGGACTTTTGCCTCTGAACCTTTCACACAGTTTTATATCAATAAATGTTCAAATAATCTAATATCGCTATGAAATTAGAGGAAAAAAAACACACAAAAAAAGCTGAAAACAGTGTGCCAGAACTTTTTTCTTTTTCTGTTTTCACATCCATCATCTCATGACGGCTCACATTTATCTGCTGTTCCTGGATATAAAACTGTATGTAAAGTAGTTCCAACTGTCTCCAACAGCAACATGCTGCCGACACACTGACGCCTCAGTATTGATAACACTGGTCTGCACCCATTTTGGTGTTTTTTGAGCTGATTTTGGACAGTTGCAATCTGCTGAATCCAAACATTGCATTGATTTTACTCAATGAGGTCAACATTTTTGACTTGTCGCCACATGCACTTTTTTTTTTTTTTTTTTTAACATTTTTGTGTACATGTGCGGGTATCTATGCTTTGTATCATACAAAATTATTTTCCTATTTCCTGAAATGAACAAATTCTGAAACCTTTACAAGTTGATGCTATAAATGTTTGCAGGTGAATTAAATGTAGACAGAAAGTTAACCCCCTGGTTTATGGACAACACATTAGAGTCACGTGATTTTATCAGAAAGAGATGGAGACCAGGTATCAGGGGCGCAGTCATGATGTCTGATTACTGCTGGACTCTGAAGAGAGATAAACCTGGAGTTCCAAGAAGCCCAAGTTCAAGGTCTGAATTTTGAGCAATGCTGATGAAACATGCAATTTACTTGTATTTACTTTTATAAATGTTTACGATCACCAACTTTTGGATCATTTAGCTTATGAAATGATTAGAAAATGACATTTTTCCTCTAAAATCCGATTTCATATGAGAAATACTAAAATAAATCAGTGGCTAATGTCAAGAAATGTGATCAATTTAGTGGCAAAATCTTTTTTTTTTTTTAAATCGAGTTGGCATAAAAACCTGACCTGATACAGAAAAGCAGATGTCATTTTTGGATTCAGCGTTGCAAAAATGTCCTAAATCAGTTTTAAAATCCTAGACACCTTCAAAAATCCATTTTTTTGTAACCCAGTCTAATATCATATATAATAGTATTTAAGTACTTTAATACTTTACTCACAATTTGCTGCTAATACGCTGTCGCCCACAAAGCTGGAATAATTTTTGTGATCAGCCACATTCCTCTTTATGTTTCTATTCATACACATCACTGATCACGTCTGACCAGGTGCAATGATCACATCCTGAGTCCCAGTTAGCAGGTTAAATAAACTCTGACTTCAGGATGTGACTGAAGAGCGGGACGTCCTGAACATTGACACCATCAACCAGCTGGTGGACAGAATGCCACCATATGAACACATTGACCCATGTCAGGGGTGGCCAGACTCAATGCTAGTGACATTTGAAAGAGTAACACTGGACTCCAATATGGGTTTCCTGTTAAATGACCAAGGTTGAAAAACTGAAACAAAACCCTTGATCCTGTGGTTGAATTCCTCCAGTTTAGTTAAAACCTAAACACACAGTTTGCAAAAGCTAGTTGTGGTTTAAGTTGTACTTTCACTCATGTAATGCACTTTTTCATGATTTATTTGTAATGGGCTGTTTTTATATATCTGTACTTTCACTTCATGAGTTTGTAAACGATGTGAACACTTCCTGGTTTCTCTGTTTCACTGAGCTCTCAGATAGGATTGAGTCACTAACCTCAGTCTTATTTCTCACCCCAATGTAACATCACAGCAAAATCAGCCACTAAATGTTCTTTGTCTGTACTCCACCTCCAGCTGACCGAGCATTCACACTCATCCTGAACTTGTGCATGAAGAGCAGAAAACGTTTTTTCTCCTCGCAGACTGAAGGACCATGCAGCTACAAATTTGGCGCATGTTATATTTATATAGGCTAAAGCACAGCGGGGACGCCGGCACGTCACCGCTCACGGATCATGCTTATGCTAATGTGTGAGATATTTCCAGAACACTGTGGTACTGGAGAAATTAAAGATATAGTGGCACACGTATAAGAGCTACAGATTGTATTGTCCCAGCCCAGCCAGCGTTTGTAGTTCAGTGTGAGGACAGGATGGTTCAAAGCTCTCTTTATCAGATTTACAATCCTCAGCGTGCTTGAGGCCGATCATTTGTGCGCTCACACACATCCTTACATCTGGTTGCCATGGCATTCAGTGTCAACAGGGATGCAGCACACATGTTGGATCTCCCTCACACACACCTACGGAGCCATCCACGTCCTCATGAGAGAGGCCATTACGGCTGGTAGAGACCCTCCTTTATCAGCATTGTCATTCAGGAGGGGGCTTCTGATGTACTCCTCTGTTGCCCCCGCTGCTCCCCCATCCCTCATCCCTGTCATCTAAAGTGTCACCGCAGTGATTCGCGGCCAAAAAAAAAAAAAACACCCCACCAAAGAGCGAGAAACTCAATGAAATATTTAGTGCCGTAAGAAGCCACGTCTAGTTGCATCTCAATCCCTCGCATATGCTCATCTCTCATCGTTCTCCTGCTGCTGGGATGCATTCGGGGGAGCCGGCGCCTCATCTGTAAAAGACGCGCACTGTGAAATGTACTCCCCGTGCCACAATTACAGAATACAGCTGCAGCACAAACAAGACACGAGGGAACGAGAGAGGAAGAAAGGGGAGAAAATTGTAGAATTAGACGGGAGGGGAGGGTTGGAATAAACAGAGAAAGCGAGGGAGAAGGGAGAGGAGCACGACGGAAACCAGGCGTCTGTCTGCTCAGGTTTACACATGTTTCAAGATGGAGAAGCGGCACGTTTGTAGGAAGGAGAAGAAAAGAGAGAAACATGAAAGCGACATGAAACACAGACAGAAGCATCTTCTGGCCAAAACCTTTGTTCCCTTTGATTCTGAATTATTGATTTTTTTTTTTGGAGCAGGTCAAGTTCCTGGTGTTTGATAGGCAGCGTGTCTGAATCATGTCATCACTTTCATCCACTCTGTTTGACATGTGGACCAGCTACTGCAGATGTTTGGTTTCTTCATGTCACAAAGCAGATTCTTTTAGGTCTTTGATCGAATGCTTTCTCTTTAACATGCAGCACTTCAGTGCATGTCGCTGTCAAAGTTTTTTGCCCTGGAATAACACAGGAAGCCTTCATCCCCTTTTATGCTTTTAAGCAGTGGCCCTCGGTGCGATCAGATGATATCATGACATGAAAGATGAGTTTTCTATCGAGATGACGAGCAATTTCCCGTGAAATCCGACCCGCCACTCACGCAGTAAAATGCAGCAGATTTCATTTGTAGCTGCAGTAATGCTTCAGAATGAATGGGCTCAGGATGCATTGAAGTGATAAAGCTACATGCATGCATTCATCTGTCTCTGTCCAGGACTGGCCATTGGTGACACCTCTTCCTGTATGAGCGCCATACTTACACTTACTTAGAACCCCATTTGTTTTTTGCTTATCAGGGTGGTTTGATGGCAATATTAGTCCATTAGTGTGTTCACGACATCGATCAAAACTGCAAATCCAAATAACAAGCCAGTGATTACCATAAAATATTCAAGATTAAGCTCATGACATGAAGATTTCCTGTGAAGTGTCTTTACATCCACTAGATGCACCCACTAGAACTTTCCACAGACATTTGTTATCGCCATAGGAAGAGTCCGATGGGCTTTGGTGAGCCTCTGTGTTTTCCTGTAGCACAACCATGAAGAGGACATTTCACTATTCAGGTGTTTGTCATAAAATTTGCTGCCGGCGTTCACGTTTCTCTCTGAATAATTTGCTGTAACTTTGGTGACTGGGGACGGAAGCACCTCCAAGTCTGAGGTCATGGTTCTCTGCCAGGAGCTGGTGGATCGCTACCTGTTGGAGCCCCAAGCAAGAGTTTAAATATCTTAAGATCTTGTTAATGAGTTGAAAGTAAAATGGAGCATGAGACGGACAAGCGGATTCCAGCAGCGTCAGCAGTAACGAGGAGTTGTGCTGGATCATGGTGGTGATTTACGGGTCGATCTATGTTCCAATCCTCACCTGGGGTCATGAGCCTTACAGATAGGGTGTGGACCTCTGATTAGGATGTGTCCTGGGGGCCTACCTTCAGAGGTTTTCTGGGCATGTCCAACAGAGAGGAGACTCTAAGGGAGACCCAGAATTTGCTGGAGGGATAATGTATCTGGGCTGTAGGGTGGATTGGTGGTTAGCACCGTCGCCTCGCAGCTAGGAGGTCACCGGTCCGCATCCTGGTGAGGACACCCAGGATTGCTCTGTGTGGAGTCTCCATGTTCTCCCCGTGCAGTGTGGGTTCTCTCCGGGTTCTCCGGCTTCCTCCCACACAGTCCAAAAACATGCTGAGGCTAATTGGTGATTCTAAATTGTCCGTAGGTGTGAATGTGAGTGTGCTTGGTTGTCTGTCTCTAAGTGATAGACTGGTGACCTGTCCAGCCCCCCATGACCCTAGTGAGGATTAAGGTTTAGCGATGATGGATGGATGGATGGATCGATTGATGATATATCTCATCCACCTGGGAACACCTTGGGATCCCCCTGGAGGATCTGGACACCATTGCTGGTTAGAGGGTCATCCAAAATGCCCCCATGATCCAACCCTGGATATATGGAAGAAAATAAGCAGATGGTTGGAACTTTATCATCTCGTATATTTTTATCCTATGCTTCATCAAGAGCAGTTTATTTATCCAACGCTAAAGTGACTCTTGCCCACTCAGTGTGACTGTGTTGTGCTGTGTGGGCCGCAGGTTGGGGGTGGACGACCGGTCCCTGGAGCGTTCCCTCGCCAGGTCAGGCTGTGAGGTCCACTGCTTTGATCCCAGCTTGAAGCAACCTCACCTGCAGCAAACTGAAATGTGGCTCCATCGGCTGTCTGTGGACTGGAGGGATCCCAACCCGGCCATCGTCGCCCAACGTCAGTACGCCAACACCAAGAAACTGGCCACCATCCTCAATGACTTTGGACACAGAGAGGTGAGAGTTAGAAAGTTATCCTGCATTCTGATTGTACAACTACCTTGAGCCTCGTGAAAAAGATTTATTCTTACCGTGTTAGCATTACTCATACGCTGCATGCAAACACAAGCCCGTTCCTGCGCACCTCAACTCAGCTCATCGTGATTCATTCCTGCGTTGTCCGTCTCCGGCGCCAGGTGAGCATGTTCCCATACTTAATTTTGTTTTCCTCCTGTAAATATTATCATCCAGTTGTGGTGCTGAACGTTACCTCTTCAAAGCTCCCCAGGGTTTGTGTTCCACCTCATCAGATAGGGATCTGCATACATGATCAATCATATGCACCGAGCCCACAGATAGCATGCATACTAATAAACACAGCCACGGAGTGAAGCCACGGAGAGAACACGCCTGTTTAAAGAAACAAGCTGAATGATAATTCAAGGTCAAAAGAGCCAAGCTCCTCTTAAATAGGTAATCAAATCATACCTTTAAGGCAGCACGCTCTTTTCTCTTTTATCTCTTTCTCGCGTGGAGGAAACTGAGCTTTAGTGGCTGCAGATACACAGCGATAAAAGGCAGAGCGCTCGCTGAACGAATGACTTGATACCATTAATAGCATTAAAGTGATTATCCACATTATTCCTCGTCCCCTGAGTCACTCCTCCTGGTCATCCTCTGATTCCTCACAGGCAGAGGTATGATTTCATTATCCAGTTAACGGGAGGATTAGCTGTGTCGTGTCATTTAGGAGGCTCTGAGGAAAGAGAAAACATCTGACGCACATTGTTAACCTTCTCCCATCCAGAAGTCATGACGTGATCGTGAATCTAAAAATACAGAAGCCTGGAAATTGTTTTCATGACATAAGAAGACAGTTTGTGGGGGGAACAAAAAGCAGACACTGTGCTGTAGATGGTCTTACTTTGGGTTCTGCTGTGTTCCACTCGCTGCCACTGCATGCTTTTGTTTTTTACTACTAGAAGTCACCAAGGTCAGAAATGACTTTGAACCGTTGTGGTCGTGCCCGGTGCCCAGAGCGGTTCTCTTTTTGTTTGCTTTCTAGAAAGTTAAGGTTCCACCGGTTTACCTCTGGTGTCATCCTCAAACCAAAGACTTTACACTAAATCTGCCTCTTCCTGCTACCAGACAGATGAACAACTTTTGAATTCCAGTCAGTTTGTGTTCTTTATCTGGTGCCATCCCCAGGACGACGAAAGGCCGGCAACCGTGCAGACTGTGAAAAGCAAAATTGCCTTTACATTGTTTCATCAAGTGCTTTCCTATCACAGGCTGAAGTGAACATAACAGCCACTAAAATAGCTGCTAGCTGGGTTTATTTCCCTATTACTTATAGGCTGGCAGCTGAAAGATTATAATTTAAATTAGACTCCAGAAAAGAACGATTTCAGCTCAGAGGTTTGAGTTGAAAAATTCCTTCGCTGCAAACGAAGCAGACGGGCTCATGCGAGGTGTCGGGAGCGCTGTGAAGATGTTGAGATCTGAAGAAAAGGAAATATTGGCGTGTGTACAGTACGTGTGGGTGGGTTTGTGCATCAGATGACAGTACTCACCTGTTTTAAATGCAGAGCCACACACGCGTCCTTGTAATGAGGTTTTAATGTGAGCTCACAGCGTGCCGCAGGAGCAAGCAGCAGGCAGCAGAACCTCCTCAAAGGCTCCTCGTCCAGCCTCTGAGACAGGAAAGAGAGTCACTCGCAAAGGTCAATACATGCGTTTGTGCAGCATTACTTATCTGTGTTGGTTTAAAAAAAAAAAAACAACCTATCCAGATAAGTCATTCAGAGAGCCGTGGCGACCAGCTGAGAGCAGCAGACACTGTTACCACGGGGACAAATGTTAGTAGCAGGAAGTCACATCTCATTTAGGGAAAATAGCTGCACATTGAACCATTGATCATGTCAGTAATTGGATAACACAACAGTATCAGCTCTGCCCAGTGGTGCCATTCTGAATTAAATGAGGTGCTGCCAAATTCTAAGCAGCAGCCACGACCGTCCAAACAGTCTTTTTTTATTTCTTAAGTAAAGGGACAAATCATCTGTGTGCACGTTAAAGTTGACGCTCGTCACAGATTTGTAGAATTGACAAAAAAAAAGACGACACATTGGTGACTTTCAAGACGGATTCTCCTGCTTCTCTTTGCGAGGACGCCCTTGGGAAGCTGTCAAAGCGGTTGTTGAGGTCTTTGAAAGAGCGGCGAATCCGCAAACCTCTCAGAAATGTAATTAAATATCTTTAACTGTGATCCGCCCTTGAGTGGCAGCCCTGCTAATTAAAGCTCATAAAACATATAGAGACAATAAAGTTTAGGTAAGCAGCGATGTCTGGCACGCTGGTTTACAAGAAAAACTGTGTAATTATTCTGACATGACCAATTGTGTGGAACAAAGGGGGAAAAGTAAATCAAAGTCTTGCTAGGATTTGCCCATCATGAAATAAACACATTTCAGGCCAATTAACAAGCCAAAGTGTAAACTTTCATTTAAAGTTATGCTCTCAAATCTGCAAACTTGTTTGTTTACAAAGACTCTAGCAACTTTTCATCAAAAGCCTTTCTGAATTAAAATGTCTCCCAATGTGCTGCCTAATCCTGAGCCTTCTTTACAGAAATAATCACAGTGTGACTCACTGGGAGGAGAGGAAATTAAAAAAAAGTCTTTCGAGCAATCTCACATTAATTTCTCAGCAGTAAAGGGCACAAATGTGTGTGTCCAAAGTCAATCTGCAGCGAACAAATCAGCCTGTCGAGGCTGTACAGTGAGGCTGATCGGTTTTTATCAATTCTTGTTTTGTTTGTGATTGTTGGATCTATAATGAGCTTTCACAGACAAGCACAGCCACGGGCGTCCTATTAATTCTCTGGCACATATCATGATTTAAAATTAGTTTAAAATAAATGCAGGTTAACGATGTCAAACAGGGCTTGTTGCTAGAAAAATCTACAATATTCAAAGTACAGGAGTCCATCTTTTTCCAGTCAGTCATAGTTATAATAGTCAATAGTTATGACGTGGAGCCGTAACACCACTGATCAGAAAATGAAAAGAAACCTGATAGATGTGAGCACAGATGGGGTCCAGCATGTTTGGTAGGACTCTGACCACAGTGAAGGCATCGTCCTGACAGTGAAGCACGGAGGTGGGAGCATACAGGAGTTGGAGAGATGAGAAATGGTTCCTCGGACATGAAAAGCGCATTCATAGAATCATCAGTCAAACGGGATAAAACCTGCTTAAAAAGTTCCACTTTCTCAACATCTCACCTGAATCAGTGCAACAACACGATTGGTTCTGAGATCAGATGGTATGAAGCAGATGATTGGACTTATTGGGGGGCAGAGAAGGGCGAGTCTCTCCGTTGTGAAATCTCTAGTTCAGCTTAGAATAAAGACCAAAACACAGGTAAACATTTAGCCAAAATAAAAAAGTAATCAGTGAACATGTTGGACCCCATTTGCTCCATGTCTTAGTCGGAGCAGTTGCAAGTTGACCAGGAGGAAATTTCAAGATACGACTGATCCTAAGCTCAGAAACAACCCAGTGCACACACTCCTGTAAACCTGCAACCCTTTGGTTTGGTCACCATGCTTGGTCCAGTCCTATCCCTTCAAAATAGAGCAAAGTCCATTAGCCAAATGATTAAAAAAAACATCTCACTTTGCTCTTGAACCACCTGAACTGTCACCGTCCCTCAGTTTCTTCCAGCGTAGTGACGGAGCATTTAGCGTGGCTAACTCTGCACAGCAGTGTAGCAAAAGTCATCTTTCCAAAGCTCCAGCACCATATGGACTTTGCTCACAGCGGACAGGAGTCTTGCCAGCGTTTGCAATTTCTCCTGCAGAGAGAGTTGATATTGGCATCATTGGATCAGGGACCGTAGAGGCAGAAAGGCAATTTATATGAAGTCCACTGGAAAAAAAATGTTGACATCAGTCAGACAGAATGAAGCTGTGTGAGCAGTCCACTCCCAGAAAATAAACTCAACAAGATAAACACAGTATGATGTAAACATACACGCAGGCAGACACTCGTTAGAGGCTGACTGAAGACATTCCTTCTCACTGATGCCACATCTTTCTCCACTACGAGCTTTCTGGCCAATTAAGGAGCATCTTCCTGCTTGTGGGGGTTTGGAGGGAGATCATGGGGAGGATAAAAGACAGCATTTGGACTTTGGATAGTTCTGTAGTGCTGCTGAAGGCATGAACTGGAGATAAATTTCATGGCCTGTTAATATCTGAGATGTCACGGTGCCAAATGTTAAGTTGTGGAAACATTTCCCGCAACTTAAAACTCACTCAGAGAACCTGCCGTCTTTACTGTAATGATCTCTGACATTTTGGGGGGAAATCCCTCCTCAGGTCTGATCATAATTAACTTAGTGGCTACATAATGTACCACCTGAGAAAATGATGCTGAGACATTGGTTGGCCTAGAAGGCATAAAAGCAATGCCGCCGGAGAGACTTTGAAACTCATAAAGGTCAGACAATGGACATCTTTAGTAATCTGTTAACCTAAGAGGAATCCCAAGGTTCTGAGGGAACGCATTAAACTTTGAGCATGCATGAGTCTCCTCACATGAATGTGACCTGAGGGTGCGATTAACATTCATCTTACAAAGCATTTCCTATCTGCTATCACAGCTAGCCTTGTCAGGCTGCTCTTTCGCTCAATCCATCACCAACATCGCTAACACAAGAACAAATGCCAAGCTTCACGTACTCCTTTTCATCTTTTAATAGCTTTTGCATTGAATAACTCCACAGTTTAGTGTGTGCTACACTCATTAATTACAATAAAAGTGCCTTTTTTTTTTTTCTTTTTACCTGCAGGTGGACGTGCTGAAAGCAGATATGGAGAGCGCTGAGTGGAAAATTTTGGAGAATTTGCTTCTTGAAGGAGTCCTGGACTCGGTGGGTCAGCTGCTGCTGGAGCTTCACCTGCACTGGGCGGGCTTCGAGGTGGGCGGCGACGACCCGTCCGTGGTGCGGTACTGGTTCAGCCTGCTCAAGGAGCTTGAACGCGCCAACTTCCAGCTCTTCCACGTCCACTGGGACCCGGCCAAGCCTCACCTCTTCCTACATAAGAACGTGTTCAACGCCAGCAGCGCTTACACCTTGAGCTGGGTGAACACGCAGTGGAGGCCGACTGCAAATCAGAAATAACTGTTGACTGCAATAGCTTGTAAATGGAAATGTGAAAGGTTGTGTAACATGGAATGTGAGCACAGATTCTTTCTAGAGCACACCTGTCCTGTTATCTAGCTTATCAAGCTTTTTACCAAGCTAAAATCCCTGCTCCTACTTATGCCGCTTGCCCTCTCCTGGCCTGTAATGACCTCAGCCGTGTAGAGGGGCAGAGTAATTGACTCCAGAGGCTCTGCGTTCTACCTCATAGTGGCGGTGCTACTGGCTGCGGGTCAGCCTCTTAATCACAGTCACCATCATCAGGGCCCAACCTGAGCCTGGCCTGTAGCCAGACGATCATCAGCTCCTTCCTAGAGAACACACAACTCACAAAACAGCATATGAAAATGAGCGCACACTGTTAAAAGGGGAAGGTCCTGTCTCGCTGATAGTAATTGAACACTTGAAGGAGGCCATTTGAGCTGCTTACACAGCAAGACAAAGAGAACGAGCAGAGGAATGTGGGCTATAAGGGTACAGAGATGGAATCTGCTCTAGAGGCAGAAGAAGCAGATGCTTCCCTGCAGCTGAACCCTGATGACTATCACAAAGCATGACGATAATCTAAAGAATAGCCTGTAATGCCTCCATACTTGTACACATGGTTGCCTGTTTTAATGGCACGTGTGGGCGAGCGTGAGAGAAAAAAGATAATATGAACTCCACTTTTTTGTTTTTTTGCAAATTGCAGTTTCCTCAGTTATAAAAGAAAAACACAATTTAGATTCACACAAAGAGGAATGTTATGTAATTGACAGTTTTTTTTCTAATGTGCTTTACTTCATTATCTGTGCTGCACCAGAACATTAGCAACAAACCTATTCTGAGAATGAAATACTGGTCTGACAATCCAAAGAATAATGCACAAGTTATTCAATTATTGTACTTTGTCAAATCCTTTTTTTATAAAGCGAGACAAGACAACCAACGGTCTGGGATTTCTCTCCATGCTTCTGTGTTGACTTGTGGAAGAAGAAATAAACTTTTTTTTCTCCAAGGAAATGCTGCTTCAGGTTCTTAAAAGGTAAAATATACAGAATGTTTATTTCCACAAAGGGATGATCGTACAATTGAAAACAAAGAAACTTAAGCAAAGACTTCAAAAGTGTACTACACAGGACATAGCAAATAGAAAAAAAACACATTTAAAACAAAGATGCTAAGGACACCCCTGTAACCTGACTTACAGTTTTTAAAAGTTGCTCGTGTTAATCTTTGTACAGATATTACATGAGGATAAACTCTGAGCCCTCATGACGAGATACAAAAATACACTGCTGCAGAAAGACTGGATACCAGTCCTTTGGCTTTCACTCACCAAGTCCACGGGACAAACAGTCCCTATCTGTCTCTTTAGTGAACCTGTCCCCCCTCCTCCCCCAGGACAGATCTAGTCCCACAGTTTGATCTGTCCATCCCAGCCGCAGGTGATGACCTTGGAGGTTTCGTGTGGGTGCCACAGGGCGCTGATGCACACCTTGTCGTGAGCCTTGATCCTGTGGTAAAGCTTGGTGGTCTTCCAGTCCCAGATGTTGAGCTTTCCGTCTGCATCTCCTGATACCACGTAGCTGACGGAGAAGAACGGGTTCAGTAAAAGTGTGAGAAAGAGAAAAAAAAACAGAAAACTAGAAGAGGATGAAATGATTAGCATTTTGCTAAAAATGACTTGTGTCTCTACTTCACCTGCCAGAAGGTGGGAGTCTAAATTTTTGGTATCTAGTCTAGCCAGGAGTTGCAATGTTGCCATGGATACTGAGAGGAGGTGAGGGCAGCTGCGTACAGACGTGGGTGGTGGTAGGTGAGAAGAGGGGCAAAGGCAGGTCTTAATGGGTGTTCTGGCTAAAATTAGGGAGCTGGCCTGTCCTACTTAGCTCTCCTTGTGGAGGTTGTACATTAGCTCATATGAAGTGGCTTTTCCCCACAGCTCTTTTTAGAGGACAGTGTAAGACACAGATCACAGGAGCTGAGCTGAACACATACCTGAACACATTAAGCATCTTTAGACGGCTGCTTTTACAGCTTTATTAGTTTTTGTTTACTAAGATGCGGTGATTCTTTACGTTGTTCTGCTTTACATCATCACATGTTTGTCTCTGGTCTCTGCACCCAAACGCAGATGAGTGATTTACTAAAAAGAGAAATCTAATCTCCTCTGACCTGCTTCTGTTACTCTGGCATATTTTCATTCATCAGTGCCAAAACTGTTTAGCATTTACTAATCAGCTATGAAACTAATAAACTATTAATGAGCTTTGAGCATTTCTAATTCTGGCTTCTGTTACAGTAACCCTGCCCCACATCACAGCTGACTGACGGAGTCCAGGCTTACCTCATGTCTGGGGAGAAGTCCACTTGGCAGGCGTAGCCGGCCACCATGTGGCCCTTGAACACTTTCTTTTTGTTCAGTCTGAAGCGGTTTTGGGCTCCGAAGATCAGGATCTGGTTGTCCATAGACTGGCATGCTAGCCATTTACCTGGGGTTGGAAACAAGCGAGATTCAAGATTAACTTTATTGTCTCAGGCGTCATGGGCTGTTCAGCCACACTGCAGCCAACACAAGCAGACACAGACACTGTTAATAGAATAAATAATGCATACATCATGTGACGTGGCACAGCACTCGGTAACAAAACACAACACGCTGACAAAAGACTCTGGATGTGCAGGATCAAACTTCCATGTGGTGAAAATCCTTTTTTATTTTGTTTTGTAGTTGTTATAAACTCAGAGCTGTTAAGATGTTTACTTCTGCTGGTCCTCTCCCAGCTTTACAAGCTAGTAAGAACTTTACTGAGCTGCTTTGTTCCCACTGAGGAATCAATTGACATCTACTCAAATTTTGGATATGAAATGTTCTACTGTTGGCTGTAAGAGTGAACACGAGGGTCTTCGTGCACTCCCAGCATCTGTGGGACAGTGTTATAGTAAAATAAAGCACCTTTCAAAAGTGGAACTTTCATGAATTTGCTGACAAGGGGCTCAATGTGGGAGCTTTTAGGCACATATAAACGTGACAGAAGTTTATCTCAGCATAAATAACATCAAAATTCAACTATATCTACGCTTTTAAAAGTTGTCACAGAAAGTTTTAAATTGCTTATTAGCTTGCAAGTTTGTCTGATTTGCATGACTCACGACAGTAAAATGTCGAACAAGCAGCCCCTGGGATCTTTGAGGTGCTATCGGGATGCTGCCTGTTGGCACGCACTAAACCGAGCGCAACGACTGTGATCTAGAGGAACATTAAGAGAGCTAATAGCTTTAGCAGCAGGCACATAGGAAATGGTAGAAACGGGCCTCAAGGACACATTTCTTCAAAAAAAAGAAAGCAAAACTGTGTGAATTTGAATTTGGAGTGGACGACGCTCTGAAAGGGGCTCGAACTCATTGCTCTGCCTTCATTAAACTGGAACGATTGGGGCAAGGTAGGGAAAAATAACAGATTTGTTGTCATCAGCGGCTGCTCAGTTGAGATCCACTTCACAGAGCGCTTCAGCTCCTGACAACGCCACGTTCTTCGAGTCACAACGCGGTGATAAGAGGCAGTGCTTCATGTCAAAGCATTACACGACTCGCTGCACTCCTTAAAGAGAACATGATGGAAATTATTAATGTGCTGCGGGAAAGAGATACAGTGCTGGTGTGTGTGTGTGTGTCGTCATCTAACATCCTTCAGCGCAGAACTTAGATAAAAAAAAAAAGACATGATTGTCCACAAATGTCAAATGCAGTCGGTACAGCAGAATGAAAACAACTCGACCAATTTCACCAGCGCACTCAGGCGCCGTCTCTTTGGTTGAAGTGGGAAGAGACGGGAAATTAGAAAGAGAGGCTGTGAACGTGGTGCCAAGAGGTGCTGGGTGCCATTTAGGCCTGAGAAGAAACTGAATGGTCTCCCACTGAGAACACATTCATTATTCACACGCCGGAGAGAAACAAACCGGCGCTGGGACAAATAAGAACGTTGGCCAAAGGAAGGAAGTAAGAGGCTACGGAGAGACAAATCAAAGTAGGTGGAGAGGGAGGGAACAGACGAGGACTAAAGAGTTTTGATATTAGTTGAGGCTGATGGGCGCAACAAGGAGCTCTTGATGCTTTACGTCTGAAGAGGAAGACCACCTGGTAAGTCTGTTAATGTGCTGCTCACGAAACTTGGCCGCCGAGTCGGAAACTGGATTCATGTGATGCAAAACGTGTAAGCTGTGCAGAAGCAGGCTTACTAAGGCTTAGGGTTAAACTCCTGTACATTCTTTATACACATTTTAAACTGTATATATTAAGTATGGGATGGTGTCTATAGTCATTACTCTTCTTGACTTCATATGACGGCAGCAAAGGGTGCCTCTATCACATAAACTATGATGGCTCCTGCTCAACAGCTCCACCTTGACATTTCAGGAACAACACCGACTTTGGTGCTCTGAGTGAGCTAATGAGAACATTGATCCCGCTCTCGCTCCTTTATATCAATATTAAGCTACATCTAGAAGACTAGTAAAAGCGTGGGAAGGAGAGGGAACAGCTGCTCTGTCCACAGCTAACTATATTCATCTCCCAGCATGTCTTCACCTTAATCATTAGCACGCTATGTCTTGTTTGTTGAATCTGTATTGAGACTGTTGTACAGTTTTGCAGCTGCGTGTAATTATCACCTGGCAACTTCCTAAAGAAGACAAGGCTTTGTTTTTTGTTTTGCAGAGCGAGGCAGGCTGTTTCCCTTTGTCCCGAGTCTCCGTGCTAAGTTAAGCTAAGGTTAGCGTCTCTTTCTTCTTATTCTCCCTGCAGCTATGACACTGGTATTGATCTCCTCAGCTGGTCCCAAAACGTTAAACCAGTCCTCTGACAAAACATAGTCCGCCTCACATCCTTCCTTTTTAAGTACAACAGCCCCAAAACATATCTGGACGGTTAAATGATTGGAAAGCTTAAAAAGGTTGGAACGGTAATTTCACAAAATGCTAGATGAGGTGGGATTTGATCTGTTGAGCACGACTATAAATACATGTTTCTGATAAAATAAGCCGGGCTGTCACTTGAGAAAACAAACGTCTGTAAACGGCAACAAAAAAAGGAGCTGCACTCGTTCCGATTGTAAAACCCAGAATACCAAACGTGATCCATCAATAAACTGCCTGAAAACTGGTAACTTAAGAGAGCTGCAAAAATGATAAAGGCAGGCAAAGAGAGCTCAGAGAAAAGGTCAAGCATTGTTCTACTAAACTAGCATCCCATCCTCCAGCGTTTGGCTATATGGTCAATATGTTTAAAAATGGAGGCCTGGTGGTGCATGGGCAGATCCAGAAAGACCTGCAGCAGACTGGAGCACGTCAGTGTCAGGACAACAGCCAAGAAGAGGGTCTCCAACCTCAAACATGGAGGACTATTACCAGACACAGCTCAGATCACAACACTGGTTACTGAGGAAGAGTGATACGACGGGTTGAGATTGAATTTGCAAGTGCCTACCATCTGCTCTGGTCTGGAGTTTACAGACATCTAGAATAGCAACTGACCTTGTTTCAGTTTGAAAACTTTAGGTTCTGGATGGGGTTAATCCCCTGTCTGGCTTTTAACTGTTGCTCTTCTTCCTCTGTAGTATTTTCTACAGCTAAGCTTCATGTCTAGTGTAAGGCCGGCCCGCCCTCCTGTACTCCAGTAGAACCAGGAAGAGGGCCAGAACATAATCCAGACCCCACTTATCCTGGTCATAAACTGTTCTCCCTCCTCCCTCTGCCAGGCCATACAGAGTCCTGCACACGAAAACCCCCAGACATAAGAGCAGCTTTTATCCCACGGCCATGACTGTACTGAACAGCTGAGCCACTCTCAGCCAACATTATTATCTGCACTGCTGTTCTGGACCAATGTACATATATATATTCTGCTCAGACGTATAAATTCTTGTGTATATTTGTTATTTTATTTATTATTATTTATTTTATTCTCTTTTTGCTTATTTTTTTTCTATAGTTATTTTCCTTTATTTTTTATTTTCCTGTTGCTCATTCCCAGGACGACACCAACAGCCCAAACCAAACTCCTTGTGTCCATACTTGGTCATTAAAGCTGATTCTAAATCTAAGTGAATGGTCGTGCGCTTTCAGGTGTGTGATGATGCACGGAAAATATTTCTGATGCGATGCTTAAATGTTCAACAAGGGGGAAAATGCCAGCTTGGTAAAACTGATAGCTTTGTTGGTCGACAACTGGAGGAAACTTTGGCTGCAGATATTACAGAAAGTGATCGACTCCGTGGTCAAATGTTGTCAGTGAGGTCTGCAAGCTAAAACAAACTAAAACACTACACCTGTGATCTTTAATGAAGCCACTATTGGATCTCTAATGACTTTGTTGTCTTCCTTTTGGGGAGCAGTGTGAATATTTTATCGTTTAAAAACCTAAAAAAAATTCTTTCAGTGGAATATTTTGATTGACAAGTGTGTATATCCTGTCTTTCTATAAAATAAATACCATTTGCTATCAACTGCAAAGAAATTCATACATTTTAAGAGGTCCAAATATTTTGAATATATTGTCTTGGTGTTGAAAACTACATACATCCAGCATCTGTTTTAATACGCACATAAATTAAAGCGTCTGCACTGAACTCGCCTCATTTTTATTCTTCTGAGCAGTGACCAACATTGGACTCCATGAATCTACTTCAATGTGGTAATGTAGATTTATGCCCCCTAGAGTGCTCTGCACTGTGGTGTTTGAGTGTTTTGCCGTGATTTGAGTACTCACCATTGGGAGAGAGAGTCACAGCTGGCATGGAGTGCATACTGGGCTCGGCGATGTATTTGAAGTCCACGGGGATGTCCCTGAGAAACGCACAAAGCACTGTGAGTACACTTGAAGATGGGTTAAACACTGGATGAAAGAATAATCTGAGCAGCCCCTGAGCAAGAAGAACTCAAAAGGAAAACATTCACAAAGCCGGAGTCTGTTTACCGACGCAGCTGCTTATGCCAGCTCCAAGAACGCTTATTACTGGAGAGAAAACCGCACCGGTGGAAAACAGGCAGTAGTGCCATTACGGCTACGGTATGTAAATAACTCCGTGCGATCTGAAAGATGCTTTTGATGCTCTACCGCGACTGCACCAGCAAGCAATTATTTATGAATCCTTTCATTGCTCTTTCACCCTTCCTCCATGTTCTTTTATGCTCTGCTATGCTCTCTGCTGTGGGAACCAAAGGGAACGTGGCGATGTGATCTTAAGTGGTCAGAGGAAGAGCTTTCAAATCTACAGCGCTACATGTGTGTGTGTCACTGGCAAGGCGGGAACATGCCAACAGGCTGGGTCCGGGGGGACACTGGTCCACTCAGATACAGTCAGCGAAACCGACTAACGAGGCCTGATTGTTTACATCATGTACATGCTAAAGAGCAACGGCCCTGAACTCATCCTGCTATCTGCTCAAACTAAAACCATGTTTCTGTCTCTTCCTGTCAGCGGTAACAGCTGGAACTAAGGGACTGCAATGTTTGCACACACACACATGAAAAAAAGGATTTCGAAGAACTGAGGAAATTAGAAATGCAAACCCTTGTACACATTAAACGCGCTTGAATTCATGCATGTGCACAAAGTCAGACGTTGTGGCGGCGCTGGGTTGGTCCGAGGTAACGTCTGCAGGCGAGTGAAATTAAGATGAAGCCATCGTATCTCTTGTTATGAAATCCACAAATAACCAGTGCTCTGTAGAGCAATGGAACAGGAAGAAAGGAAAACAATCTATACTCTGGGGATCCTTATGAATAATAGATGACTGTTTGTTGCTCGCTGTGTTTCACGTCCATCAAATTTAAAGATAATGATGCAAACAAACAGCAGTTTTTTTTGTATAGTTTATATATGAACTTTAGTTTGTCAGGCGTACGACCCTTTCAGTGAGACTACAGTTAAGATGTGCAGTCAGCCTGCAGAGGAACAGCACATAGGATCAGGAGAAGCCCACAGCTTCTCTTGCTGAGAACAAAGTGAAACAGATGATATTTGTTTATTTAGAGCTAATGTGAAAAGAGGATTTCACAAAACATAATTAAGCAGAGAAAATTGACTTTTTTTTCCTTCAAATGATTGCCACAGTTTAAATGAACGTAGTCGTGTCGATACTACTGTTCAAATATTTACCTGATGCTGATTACATTTAGGAAGGAATTGGCTTTTAAAAAAAAGGTCAGAAGCACAATGAAAGCCAGTCTGGGAACCTGCTAAAAACGAGCCTCCTTACTTATAAGCCAAAACCGAGCTGAAAATAAACAAGGCAAATTGAGTTCTTAGAGGATGTGTGAATCCAACAATGCCTTTCCAGCGTCTCTGCCATTTTTCATCTCTATCCTTTTTTCTAAATCTATCATCATCCCAAATGTCCCTCCAAGCCCACAGTTTCATCGCTCTCTGAGCGATGTCTTTATGATCAAGAGCTAATTCCCTTTGTTGGAACAGTGCGGTACATTTTGTATTGATTGTAATCCTCCTCCAACGCATACACCGACTCGCCGTTCCCTGATGATAAACCTCTGCTACAGATAAAGTAGTCTCGCCGGAAAACTTGTGAGTATATGTGTGAAAACGAGGGTAGAATTTGAATTTTGTGTAGGCGTTTGCACCATGACGTAAATAGCTCGCTGCCTCACAATCCTCTCTAACCATCCGGCGTCCCCTCGTGACGGCCCTTTCTACCAGCCTCTGTTGCTCCTCTGACAAGATGAGACTGTTCCGATTAAGCCAGCCTAATGCTTTCATGTGGCAGCTCTTACAAGGGGGGTTAGCCAAAGCTGGAGCCAGGTGGTATCCGTGGGAGAAAGAGGGACAGTCAAGCCACTTCTCTGGACCGGCATACCACTTGGCCACTCACTCCCACGCTGCACAAAAAAAAAGCTCATGGGAGCCTCTTCTCCTCAGCGAGGGTAGAAAGTAGACTCCAGGGATGTGGTTCTTAAGCTTGTTGTTGTTCAGTCTACATTTTATTTTGGCCTTCAACTCTGACTTAGAGAGTGTGTGAAAAGCCGTTTTTCAGCAGTTAATCTATATCTCACATGCTCTGGAGAGAAAAGAAGAGCTGGAAAGTTTGGACAAGGGGAATGAAAAGTTAACTCCACACACAGATGTCCTTGAATAAAAAGCCTCCTCTTTTAGAAGCTCTCTTTATCAGTTGGACTTTAAATATTTATCATGTTTGAGTAGCAAATACCAGAGTTGGTTTGCCACTGCTGGACACCTCAGCCAGCGTACAGGCCCGTGGTGGTGGTCTGTCCTGACTGTCCACTGAGCACAAACACAGACTGCAGGAGGACACAAACACATCAGCTTGTGGAAAGACACCAGATGTGGTTTTGTTCATCACAATTTGGTTTTGTTTCAAAGGAAACTAGGGGAGTTTTAAATCTTCCAGCACGTCTGCCTTCCAAATCGATATTTAATTGAATTATTAGAAATGTTTAGTTTATTAAAATGTCCAGCTGAGAACAGGGCCTTGGCGTACAGGGCTTAGCGTTGGAGCATTTTTTATATACAGTGATAGCTCCTTGGAGGAAAGAAGAAAGTCCCAGTGTAACAGAGGTATGTAAAGCAGCTACACTGTGGCAGAGGCTATGACTCAGAGCAGATTAGCCGGGGCAAACTCTGTCCAGGATACGGGCACCCGGGGGTTTGTTGATGTCTGCTCTTCTTATTAGCAGCTAATGAAAGGAGCAGTGGGCAGCGCAAAAGCACACGTTAGTGAGAAGTCATCATCATCATCTCTGTTCAACATGTTTTCTTGTCTGAGAGAAGACAAACTACAAAGCTATGTGACTTTAGATGCATCTTCTACTGTGGCGATAACACAGTGAGGGAACCTAAAAGTCAGGCAAACGCATTCACTTCATCGTCACAACTTAGCTCACATTAAAAGCCCAACGGTTTGTAGCCGGAGGGCAACAAGAGAGGCCACAGGCATAATGGTGTCAGATAGTCTGTCTGTCATTCTCATGAAGGTGATTATCTCTTGAACGCCTTCAGGGAATTTCTTCAAATCTGGCACAAATGTTCACCGGGACTCCATAAAGAACTTATTAGATTTTAATGGTCAAAGCTGCCGTGACCTCCTTCCTGCCCAACTTGTTCTCGTGAACACGATGCATCACGACAGCCGGTGGGAGCTCCTTCAATCTTGGCACGAAGTCGCCTGGACTTCAGAACTAGATTTTGGGGGTCACTGTGATCTCATGAGACACTTGTTTTATCATAACTCAAGAATTCATCTGCTCATTTTGACTACATTTCACACAGACCTTGACAGGACAAACCAATAAGCTGATGGCGTTTTATATTTATAAGTTTAACTTTACTGTGGCGTCATAATGTAAAACACTCAACACTCTGGAACAGAAGGTGAGATGGATGTAACCTGTAGCTTCACTAGCTGGTGGAGACATACAACTAGCTTAGTTTGTCAAGGTTTACAGCTACAGAAAGTGGTTGGCCATACATGAATACTTTTCCCTGTGTAACCTCAATATTGTGTATTGATTTCTCCAATTTCATCGCAACAACCACCAAATATTAGAGATTGCTTGGAGGCATGGCAACAGTTTCAAACAGGTAAATGCTGCATCGGTATTCCAGGCTGAAGTCTGTACTTACTACGGCTGGTCCAAATATTCGGATATTCTGGTCCAGCTGTCGTACTTACCACTCCCAAACTCGAAGACTCTTGTCGTCTGACGTGCTGACAAACCGGCGATTCTCGTCGACGAAGGTGATGGTGTTGACGGCCCCCAGGTGACGGTCGTACTCCTGCACCACCTCTTTGGTCCTGATGTCCCACTGTCAGAGAGGCACAGAGAGCAGGGAGGAGGTGAACGCACTGATCTGAGACGAGTCACAACAGAGCGAACTGTTCAAACAGATGGACGCCAAACTAGCTTCTTTGCACATTTTTTATATTCCTGTGAAGTGCTGATCACCAAAATAACACATTAAAAACAACTTGTCCCAGTGCAAGTGAGAAAACAAACAGGAAGAAAATCAGATTACTGGCTGCAGAAGACTCACAATGAGCGCGGTTAGAAAATGTGCAAGTGCTGCGAAATGATTAAACTGCAGCGATGTGATGACAGCGATTAGCAATCAAACGGGCCTCGGTGCTGGATGTTAATATTTTTGGAAAACAGCATGAACACATTAAAAAGTAAAGACAAGCACACAGAAGCACCTCCCCAGGCAACAAACAGAAAGGACGTATGTCTGTCCAAACAGCTTTTACATCCCATCCCATTTGTGCTCTTCTTCTTTTTTTTCTAATCTTACCCTTGGGGTGAGCAGCCATCTGTTCTCGTTGCCCAGAAGAGAGCTGCATGATTTAACACTAACCCTGATTATTGTGCCAGATTGTGATAACGACAACTGGTCATATCGACAATTACGGGACAAACTTTGTTCCTGCGACATTTTTATCTTGAAATATTTTCAAATAATGATTCTGCTGAGAGAAAAATGACTTCGGCGGCCCAAAACCCAATGTTTCTCAGCTATGAAGCATGAACCCGTGTGCCCTGTATTTGCTTTCTCAGCATGTTGCTGCACAGAAATCCAACTTTCATCCACAGAGGTTCAAGGTTACTTGTTCTAGAAGCTGTTTACCTGATAGTGTGATGGGGTAGTTATGGATTTGCTACTTCTATCACAGACACTTCTCTTTGCTTTGCCTCTTTTCTGCCCTAATGCTGCCTGTGATTAATGAGTTGCTCTAGTCCTGTCAGCCACTGAACTACTTGCCATTCGCACACAACTACACACTACTGCGGGAAGATGAGACGAGAGTGTATTTCATGGTCCGGTGGGCACAGGGAGTACACAGACAACTTGTGCATCTGCTTGGTCAACATCACCGAATTGTTCGCAGTGCAGCATTTGCCAGCTTTACCTGCACAATCTTCTTATCTGACATGCCGGCCACAAAAAGGTTCTGTTTGTCCTCGTCTGGATTGAACTTGACGCAGTACGGCACCTTCCTGTTGGTGAAGGGGGCGATACACTGGCCTGTGGAGAGAGGCAAATTGAAAGTCAGAGCTGCAGAATAATCCACAGTGGCTTTTCAAAAAAAAAGAAAAAAAAAAGGGAACACTCAAGTTGTTTAAAATTTAAGGACACAGTCTGCAACTTTCAAAGCTGTATGCTTTATCCCTGCAGGTGGTGACAACTCAGCTGTAACGCCGAGAAGTCTGTGTTTGCTCGTGTTCGTTCGGCAGAGGTGAATCACCATGGGACTGATGCTACCGCGAGTGCTTGAACTGAAAAACAGGAAATTAAAACGGCTCAGACACCGAGGGGCCCTTGTGATTGTGATGAAAGCTTTTTGCTAACATAAATGTTGTGTTACATTCAGTGCTTAAATGCAACTGGGACAAATGTGGAATAAAATACTAAAATCACCCCCTTTTTTTTTTTTTATCACTGCTACAGCCACAGCTGCAGGAGCCAAGTCATTCCTGCAGCGACGAAACACAACAACGGATAAAGAACGTAAGGAATGCATTCATTTAACACATTTCAGCGTGTTTGGATAACCCCCACTGCTATCAACAGGTGGGGGGTCTAACTCGTTTCTGCCCTCTGCTGGAGTGACACTCTTGTGGGAAAAGGGTTGAAAGTTAAGACGGACCAGTGAGCCCAGCTGTAGCAAAGGTTCACACAGACACAGGTGGCTGCTACGCTTCAGTCTGGAGGCACGTTAGACAACATTTAATGTAAAGGGGTGCTTTAACATCATAGCAGGCCTATAAGGGCTGAGCTAGAGATGCATTTCTACTGTCTTGTGTCACTGTACTTTACTATTCATTGGGTATGATGTTCATGTTGGGCCTGTTTATGCATTTAAACACAAAATTATGCAGCCAAGAATTCCTTTCCATTCTCAGCTAGCCTACAAATTATTATCTTGATTAATCATTAATTCTAGGAGATAAATCATCTCTTGAAGCTCAACCAGCAGCACCACAAAGGAAATGTGTTTTTTCATCACTAAAGACAAAGAAAGCCAGTAAAACCTCACATCTAAGAGACCAGAACCAGAGGAGGTTTAGTGTGTTTGCTGGAAACAGAATAAAGGCTCAATGGCAGTTGTTGACTATTTTCCCAGTGATCAACGAGCTGGTTTCCACGCGAAGGGCAACAAGCACTGACCAGCTGCGTTTAACCCATCCAGCACTGGGCTATTTTCAGGATAAGGAGGTGTTGCATGAACTACAGGCCGCTCTGTGTTGGCAAGCAGGAGGCGTTCAGGGTGTTTATCTGCAACGGGCCACCATGACAAAGACTTCTGTGGCGGTTAACGGTTTACTGCTAGTGTTCAGGTATCCGAGGATCCTACAGCCCTCTGGGTCGTGCATTTAAACTGTGGATGTTCTGTGTTTGTGCTTAAAAGTGTCTCTAGCAGGACAAAGCAGAATGACCAGTGTTCTGAACTCGTTTTATTGATCGATTATGGATTGAAAACGCTAGAAACAAGCATGATGACAAAGCGCTGGTGCTGTTCTTCGTGCTAAGATGACACTTACGTAGATGTCCGTAATGATTGCAGTACATAGATGTTAACATATGAGTGAGTTAAACGAGAGTGATGTGTGCGGAAATGAATGCAGAGCTGCTATAACAATGAATACATCTGATGTAAATCCAAAATAATTAAAGTCAATGGGAATCTAAAGGCAGCCAAGACTTGGAAAACAAATATGGAAGTAGGTCTGTGTACGAGGCAATGAAGGAACAAACCAGAAAATGTCTGATCGTCCCTTCACTACATTTGTGGTTAAAAGGGGGAAATGTTTCTTCAGTACTCCATCATCGGAGCATTCAAGACAGACGTACTCCATAATTTACTCATTCATTCGAGCTGTCTTTCTATTGATTCAGTCATTTTGAAGAACCACGAGCAGCAGCGTGAACAATAGGATGATCAGCGGTGCAGCCTACCTGTCTCCGTGTCCCACAGCTTCAGGTAGCGGTCGTACGCCGCGCTGAGGAACTGGGTCCCGCTGTTGTTAAAGCAGATGTCTCGCACCGCTTTGCTGTGGCCTAAAGCGCAGAGAGGAACATTTGCACACATATTACAAACAAATAAACAAACATACGCTACAAAATTCACTTCACACACTCCCGAGTCTTGTTACCGAGTCTCCCCTCTCTAGCCGTCTTCCTTTGATACCCAATTCATTTGAGGAATGTGAAATCTGGTTAAGGAACATAAGGGATGCTGAAGGAAGAGATGAAGTGGGATGCGGGAGACGAGGGAAATGGAATCTTTAAATGAGGCCGCAGAAGAGAGATGATAAAAAATGAAAATAAAAAAGGACATGCTCCGTCTATCTTTTCAACTGTTCTCCACCTTCTTATTCTCTTCCTAATGCCGATCCGTGCGACCCCTTGGCTTTTCCTCATACAGTGGAGGTGATGCGCGCTCCCCGTGGACTCATGCAGACGCCTCCCTTGTTAAAACGAGCTTTCATCAGGGCTACACTGTTTCCACGGCGATAACAGAGCCCACTGAGGCTAAGCGCCTGCGTGCACGCTTGCTCTAACCCGGCTCGATGGCACACCAAAGCCCTGATGTGCATGCAGGAGCAGCACTACTACTACTACTACAGAAATGACTGAAAGCAGGGCACGCGAGTAAGCAAACACGCCCTGTGTCCCAGGCTGAATCCGAACATGAAAATGGAACACAATGATATGCATACTTATTCATGTAACCCCCCCTGCATCCCATTATAGAAACTGATCCTTCTTGTTTAGCGATTCTGCCGAGCCACATGTGCTGACAGGACAACAACCGAGTGTGGTTTCCTATTACAGTGTACGGTTTAATTACAGATGATACACAACAGGGCCACGCATTTAGTAAAGGAGACTGTACAGCCATCCTCAGGTGTGTTCACAGCCTCCCATTAAGGAAGGAAAAAAAATGAAATAAGTTGAAATTGATAAAAGTAATAATAAATAAAAATGTATTGAACATCATGATGTTGCTTTTGAATTGTGGTTCAACAGAAATATAAACATAAAAAAACAAAGCAGCATGATGGGACCTGTGAATTCATATTTAGTTGAACAACCCTTTGAGCCAATCAGGAGTTTTCTGTAACTCTCAGTCAGACTTGACAGGTGTTCTGGTCCACTGCTCATCAGCAAAGTGCTCTAATTTGTCTGGGACATTTTTTTGTTGTTGTTTTTTTTAAATTATTCTTTCCACCACAACTAAAAAGCAATGTCTTATTTCACTAAATTATAATTTATCAAATTTGTATTTATTATTACGTTTTTCAGTTTCTATTTATTTGAGTGACTGTTGTGGATTTTGCCTTTTCTTTAATGGAAGGGGATTTAATTTCTTATTTGAATACACAAGATGTATGAGATATATATATATATATATATGTACCAGACAGCATATGATGAAACAGCGATCACGGCAGCAACAAAGGGAAAATGGACTATTCTCTTCACAATGCAGCCATATGGAGTAGTGAGAGCGCCAAATTACAAAAATAAATCAATAAAAGAATACTAAAATAAAAGTGGAAATAAAGAGAAGAACAAATAAAATAAAAAATACATAATGTGGCAATATAAAGCAATATTAATAAAAAATGGATCCATAAAAGAAAAGGCAAATAAAGGTAGAAATATAAAGACACATAAATAAGATAATAAAATAGCAATTATGTATTTATTTAATTTTTTTAAATTTTTAAAGCAACATTATAAAAATCAATAAATAAAATTAATAATATAAAAATTTAAAATATAAAAATAATAACAAATAAAGAAAAAATGTTAAATAAAAAAATAAATTATTTATTTATTTATTTTATTTGTGTGTCTTTACATTTGTACCTTTACTAGCCTTTTCTTTTATGGATTCACTTTGGATTAATATTGCTTTATATTGCCACATTATTTATTTTTTATTTCATTTGTTCTTCATTTTATTTCCACCTTTATTTTAGTATTCTTTTACTGTAACTTGGTGCTCTCACTGCTCCACACCTACCAGTGAATGAAAACCTTTCCCATCATCATCCATGACTTTGCTGCTTCTCCCCCTCACAGCCCCCTCAGCCAGCAGCAGTCACTCTCTGTCAGTTTATTCACTCCTAAGCTGTGTTGTCTCTTCCTGTACGCCAGCTCCTCTCCATGTCTTGTGCCCCCCTTGCCCCCCTCCGCTCCCCTTGGCCCCGGGGCTGCTGAATTATGCATATTCGGTGAAGGAGCTGACAAGCAGAACCACGGCTGCAAACAATCTCTATTCTGACAGCGTGCCGTCTCTGGGAAAGAGTGTTAGAGTGTCCTGCATGCATTACCCTAACACCCCCCCTCCCCTCCCCAACTCCATATATTTAAAAAAAAATAACAATAATTCCTAAATCCCCAGACTTTGTGTTAGCGGTCAGCAGCCGTGTCATTAGTGTCCCAGTAATGCTGATCTCACACTCTGTCACTGCTGTGTATTCCCAAACGGCCGTGTCCATGTTGGACCCGGTGCATCGTTCACGTCAGCATGTTTGCTGACGATCCATCGTTGTTTAGAAAAGCTGATATTTTGGAGACACAGCTTCACACAACTAATAATCAGCATTTACCAAAGTTTGACACATTAAAATTCACCGTTTATTTTTGACTGAAGACGTAGGAAGACCACTTACCGATAAATGTCCGAATACACCTCCTCTCGCCGTACACTTCCCAGAGCTGTGAAAAAACAAACAAGTGAAGAAAAAAACAAATCTGAAACAGAAAAATGACAGTCTTGGCCAAGCCTGAAGCCAACCAAAACGGCCTCGTTTGGAGTGAATGTGTTCTGTGCTTTACAAGAGAATACATCAGGTTGTTTGCAGAAGATTCACGATCCAACTACAAAAGTAATGTCTGATATGTCTTAGCAGCCGCCGCATTTCACGATCATGACATGAAAAACAACCACGTACACATGTGTGCACATTCAATCTTAAGCTTCTTCTCTTATTGCACATCATTGGGATTGTCTACCTTGATCTTACAGTCCATGGAGGAGGACAGCAGCAGATGACCAGAGTTGGGAAACAGACGGATCGCACTGACACCCTGGAAAATAGACGGAGGAGAAAGAAGCTTTCACCCATGTGATGCTGGTCACAATAACAGCTCCTGGCTGAGCTACTGTCAATAATATCTCTTAAAAACATGAGAAAAACCTTCTAAACATGGAATTTTGATGCAAAGAGATGAGCTACTAGGAGTGGAACCAGTGACTTGAGAGAGGTTCAGGTATGTGTAGTTTTTACTGAGAAAGTGTGTCTAAAGAAAGACATATGAATTTAACAAAACATGGAAAAACTAACTAATACTTGATAGGATCTCTCAAAATATTCTGAAATGAGCACTCGCAACCTTTTCACAACGGTTTCGGTAAACATGACATTTATGGCTGAAATGTTATCAGAAGCCCACAAGCTGCTTCGGTTTATCAGTTTAAATGGAAAAACAAAATGAAAAGTTCACCAGGCGCCGTGCTGACACAAGCACACAACGACTGCAGCTCCTGCAGACCGCGCGTACGTAGCTGGAAGTAACAGCTGATGCAACGTTACATCATCACCTGTGCATCTCGTCTGATGCAATCGTTCACATATATTGCCATATACGTGGCTATTCAGACAATATTTGCAATTTTCACTGGTGATGCACTTACTCTGATCACCAGAGCATTCGACTCCAGACTAAGAGAGTCAAAGGAGTTGCTAACGTGAAGCAACAGCTTAATCTCAGTCATCCACGCCTACTGACACATATGGACACACGGTACATGCTGACTGGACACTATTTCCACATGGCAAGGCTATCACTACTGAAGCCTTTAAGGGGGCACATGGTCTGGATCATAATGCATCCTGACAGGTAGACTAAACTGTTTTGGTATTCACAAAAACGATTTCCCTCAAGATACCAAACTTTCCCCAAAAGTGTCACAAAACTTTGGTGACACCACACGGGCCGTTTTCCTGCCATTATCTCGACATCAGCACTTCCACTCGCTTATTATCTTTTCAAACCTCTTTGTATTTCAAATTAGACTCTGAAGGCTGTAACTTCCCGCACAAAGCGGACAGGAGCCAATTTAAAACTTGAGTGATTTCTCTCTCCCTGAAGCACACTGGCAGATCTGAAGCCTGAATAGGATCTTTCTTGGAATAACCCAGCGTTTGTCTTCATATCTGAATTATAAAGACATTGTTTTGAATGAAACAGAATAATCTTGGATATGTCCGGGACAAGCAGCTGTTAGATGGGTGTGTTATCGTTTTATTCAAATATGGCTGGAAGGCTTTTACTGATTCCATCAGAAATTCTAACAGTGACTATAAATGGGATATTCTCTCTATGTGTATATAAATGGTGACACTCTTGCTGTTTTTGAGCTATTTTAAAGCTATTTTAAAAGTGTAATGCATCAACACAGCCTCTGTGGAGTAAAGCAGCAAGATTGCTTAACTCCAACATTTATGTACACAAAGAAGCCCAAAGAATGTGTGTGCTGACCTTGGTGTGTCCAGACCAGACGTGAATCTGTTTCTTTGGCAGGTAACACTTGTCCGGAGCATCTGCAGAACGCAGGTTGATGCCCACATCCTGCGGGACGTGGAGGTACGACCTGCCCTGGTAATCATACATGTCTTTAACTGCCGGGGAGAAAAAACAAGAAGAGACAGAATGTGATGCATTTGAACATGTGGTTGTTAAAGGAGAGTGGGGCTGTCAGCTGTCTGCAGCACTCTGTTCTGAAGTTTCTAATGGGATTCAAATCGTGGATTGGCAGTAACCGTGGCAACACTACATCACAATGGGACACGCTCAGGAAAATTAAAAATAGCCACAATTTCACAGATGTTATGAAAAGAAAATGTATATGATACGAACAGGAACCGACTAACTGCTGTTTGCAACCAGCTCACAACATGAAGCATCATCTCAAACTGAACAGAAATTCAAACGTCTACAGTACCATGAAGAATGGTTTTCTCTTCTGCTGGAGCATCTTCCTCGTTCCTGCCCTTCTTCTGCCTCTTGGCTGTGATCTCATCCAGCTCTTTCTGCTCATCCTGTGCAGAAAACACGGATCACAAACACGTTACACATCTCTAACAGCACTTCGTGTGTGTAAAATGAAACGCTGGACTTGCCGTGTCACTCTCTATAATATGATTCGGGGAGGTCGTGACCCCGCGGTGTGAAGCGCCCTGAGGGGCCGCGTGTTATGAACAGGTGCTATATGAACAAAATGGAATTGAACTGAACCCATCATCTTTTATGGAATTACGAGACAGATTGAGCAAAGTGAAGTGACTTTAATCAAATTGCGTGCCCTGCTGTAACGGGGATTACTCAGGCCTATCCTTTTAGTTCTTTCTGAGAAAAGAGGGTCACACAGCTGCTGCTCAGCAACATCTGCTCCAACACGTGTCTCATCTTTAAAAGTGCAGCACACGAGCGGATTAGCAAACTTTTAAACAGAATACACCGTTCATCAACATTTAGAGCCTTCACTCTCCAGCGCATGGCTCTGCTTTGGGTACCCATTACACCCTACAAGAAGCATTTTGGAGACACTCTGGCCTGTTTTCAAAGTCTTTTAGATCCTTATGCTGGCGATTTATCCTGCTTTCAACACGTCAACATCAAGAACTGACTGTTTACTTGTTGCCTAATATATCCCATCCCTGACAGGTTCCACCGTTACAAGATAATCATGTGTTGTTAGAAGATCTGTAAAGTGTCAAAGGATGCAAACACTAGTAAGGGATGAATATAAAAGCAATTATCTGGATGATTTAAGTCCTTCAAACAGACATCTACTCATGACAGCTGTGGTAGCTGCCACACTCCTCAACATTAGTCCTCATCGCCTGAACCTGAAGGGGGCTGTGTTTTCTCGCCTTCCTAGGATGTTATGTAATAAGTCAGGTAATGATCTGGATGAGCAGTCAGAACAGAGCCTTACCTCTGAAGGTTTAGCCCCGTCTTTCTCATCTACATATTTCGCCCATGGTCCAAGGAAGTTGTCTATTTCTCCTGCTTCCCCGCCTTTGATCTTTTTCCTTTTCTCTGACTTCTTATGACAAGTCTCAAACACAGTCAGCCCTGAAAGACCAGACGTGAGGCACTGCAATGAAGAACTTTTCTTAAACAATAACTCATAGCAGTTAGACTTAAACAGTTCTATGAAGACAGAACACATGAGACATAAAGTGTTGTTGGTGATTGCCTTTGTTTTTCTCAGCTTCATCCACGGCACCGATGTAGGTGTTGGAGGAGACCTGATGTGTGTCAACAGATGGATCTAAAGCGTAACCTGTTAGGAGATCGGAGAGCACGGTGAGGTTATTAAAATTCAAACAGAGTCAACACACTGACTGCATTATTCAGAGCCATCACAGCAGTAACACACAAGTGTACCGTATGTGGAGAAGGTCCGTCTTTGCTGTTCAAACATGAAGTCGTTGACGTGAGCAGGTTCTGCGTAGCCTGATAGCATGTTCCTCGGGGCTGCCATCTGCTGGGTTTTAAAAGGGTTCATTGGCCCAAACTGAGAGGAAAGAATACAAAAGCATTAACAATGCAACAGATAAACTTTTATTGAACTACACGAGGAACAACTCACGGGCGCTCGGTTTGATTTATATTTAATAAGCCCGGCTTCAATAACAGCCGACACTCTGATTTACGTAACGCTCGACGGATGAATAAATAAATACAACACTTTATTAATCCTAATGGAAAAGAGCAGCATTTGTGCAGGTGCTCATAAATATGGAAACGAATGAGATTAGGACACTCAAGTAAGTAGGTAGCAAACAAAATACAATAACAGCCTTGAATTATATATTATTAATAAACGTGACTTCAATAACAGCATCACTCCTGTCTGGTAAAGATTGGGAGAACATAGTTCATGCTTTTATCTCTTCTTGCCTTGACTATTACAGGAATCAGCCAGACGGCCTTATCTCGCCCGCAGCTGGTTTAAATGCAGCGCTGGGACTCCTCAGTGGTGCCAAGCAGAGAGAGCATATCTCCCCTATAGCGGTCCTTCTTCCATAGGTTACCAGTGAAGTACAGAACTCATTTCAAGATTCATTTTTTGTTATTGCTTTAAGCTCAAAGGTGAAGAACCATCTTCTGCTGTGGACAGACCAGTTTGCCACTCAGTTTTAAAGTTTCCCCCTCCACTGATATCTGAACTAATCTAAAGGCTCGACTCTGTTCTGAAGTTCTCTAACTGTTTGTTATTCCTACTTTTTACTTGTTATCTGTGAATGGCTGTTGTGCTTTTAGGAGTTTATCCAGATATTCTATGATTTTATTAACTTGCCCACTTCCTGTTATTTAAGTCTGTGTTTTAACTGATTGTTTCTGTGCTTCTCCCTGACAGCAATCATCAATCTTTCACTATTTCATCCCCGGAAAGGAGGTTCTTCAACATGGGCTGCTTTTTCAGATGATTATTAGTAATACAGGTATAATGACCAACCAGGCCAAAGCATGTACAGCTTTATTTCACTCTGCTAGAAAAATGACTTAAGCCTTCTAAACCAAGAAAAGCCCAGGTTTAGGATGTATTAACATGCAGTAAGTATATCCCATGGAAAATGATGAATTTGTCAACATTTTTGAAAAAGCAAACATTTGATTCTTGTTGAATCAGCGTACACGACACTGATTGGTATCATATTATACAGTATATTACTGTTATTAGTATTATAACTATTACTACATCGTGCTGCTGTTCCTCCTAACAGTGTGTTTCCTGTTTCCTTGTCTACTGCTTTCTTTTTTTTAAAATTTAACTAATGTGTGCTACGGTCTCTGTCGGTGTTGTGCTGTTTCTAGAACAACAATTTCCCTGAGATACCCCACCAAAGGGATCAATAAAGTTCTATCCAATCTAATCTAGTATACAAACATGGGGGATGTACTGATAAAAAAAAAATCTCACATGCTATAAGTTTGACATTTTGCAGGTACTTACCTAATTTACATGAAATAAACAATCATTCATATGGAAAAAGTCGGCACAGCCCTACATTTACCACACGCTGAAATCCACAAAAATAAGAACCAAAGACATTTGGTGCTGATAGTTAGAACCCCGTCTCGTACCACAGATTTCAAACAATGTGCCTAACCTTGCTCAGGACTGGCCACTCCAGCAAACTTAAACCAAGAGCAAAAATAAATAAATGCATTTAAAATAATAATAAAAAATAAATCATCACACAATCTGAGTGACTCCCACAACTGTTGATGTCAAAGCAGATGCGTGTACATTTAGAGAGTGATTTGATCTACATGGGAGGAGTGTCTGTCCAGAAGAAAAACTATCATACAAAGAAAAAACTATGAGGAGTGTACCAGGATTTTTGGAATCAATGTGATCTGGACAGACAATTAAAAACAGAGTTGTTCAGCCAGAGAAACCGTAGACACACAAGTCCTGTGTAAAGGAAAAACTAAACTAAATACCAAAAGTGCAACATGGCACTGTTTTTTTTTGCTGCCTGGGGGACTGGGCAGCGTGCAGTCATCGACTCAGCTGTGAATTCTACATCATATAATAGAGTCCCTAAAGACAGTGTGAGGCCACGAGTCCAGAAGCTGAATTTGAAATATAAGTGGACCTTTCAACAAGATAATGATCAAAGGCACAGTAATGAAAAGAATAAACGGCGGTTATGGAATGGCCTTTGAATAGTAGATACTGTCTGCAAGCTGACATGACTGTTGGACAGTTATGTAAAACTCCTACAACAACTTAATTCTTTTAATACCAGCTTCTGAGGAAACAGCACAACTATGTTACTGAATTACTTACTACACTGCAAAGAGGATTTTGTTTGCTTGTTCAAAGATGAGTAAAATCCAACAGGTTCCACTGCTCCTTCTTGTTTCTGAAGCACTTATAGCAAAGTGAACAGAACATCACTTACAGTCCGGTCCAATAACACAGCACCATATAAACCACACATGTCTGGCCTCGCTCGAAGGGAAACAAACACAACTCACAGACTTACCTCAGGTGCAAACATGGTTTCATATGTTGGGTTATAAGTGACTTCTTTCAATGATGGGTCCAGGTGTATGCCCGTCTCAACAGACTCCTGTCATGAGGATATAAACAATCAGCAAACAGGTTCCTTTTTTCTCACTTTTTTGACGAGCAACAGATTCGTCAATCCTTTGGTTTTACGGTCGCTTAATTGATTCGTAGAGGCTCGTTTAGCACTGTATCAGGTACGTTATAACGTGGGACAACAATAGTTATGACACGGGGAATATCGATAACTTAGAGCAGTCTTTTCAGAACTATGACTTGAGTTTAGCGCTCTGTGACACATACAGTGTTGCACCGCTAACGTACAATACGCTAAAGAGCGCCACTTCAGCTTTCCCGCTAACCACCAATATGTGGTTACGTTAACAACAAATAGGCCACTTTCGATGCTGAATGACTACAAATAAGTATTTCACACTTTTCACTGGAAATAGCGGTGTCATTATCTGAATAAATGACTAAACTGCAGTACTTTATCTGTTGCGTCAAGCTAACGTTAGCTAGCTTGTTTAGCTTAGCTTACCTTAACAGCGACCTCGGGGGCAGAATTGAGAACAGCCAAAGTCATCGTAGGTGCAGATTGCAAAGGTTTAAGGTGAGCCATAGCGTCCGGATCCGCCGGACTGACTTTCTCGGCGCCGGTATTTGATTCAGACTCATTTTCTGAGTCAGAATCGCTACCGTACGAAACGAGGGAAGCTATGGAGGCAGACATGTTGGATGTTGTGAATATCCGAGCGGAAGTAAGAGGGCGGTACTTCCGCTAAGTCATAGAAAGAAAGAAAGAAAGAAAGAAAGAAAGAAAGAAAGAAAGAAAGAAAGAAAGAAAGAAAGAAAGGTTTAGTTTTCTTATGTGAGGACTCAAAAATTATTTATTATTTAGTAAGACACTATAGATAAAAGTCAGTTGTTGTTGTTTTTTTGACATTTAAACGTAACTAAACTGGAATTTTATATGTAAAAATGGATGCTTTAATCAAACAAATATTTGGAATAATTATTAAGGAGGATGGAGGCATTTTATAATATAAAAAAAAATCCATAAACAATACAAGTCCAGACACTGAGGCAGCTGTGGCTCAGGTGGTAGAGCAGGTTGTCCTCTAATCGCAAGGTTGGCAGTTTGATCCCCAGCCCCTCCACAGTCAAAGTGTCCTCGGGCAAGACACTGAACCCGAAGTTGCTCCCGACGGCAGGCAGCACCTTGCATGGCAGCTCTCTTGCCATTGGTGTATGAATGTGTGTCTGAATGGGTGAATAAGAAACACATTGTAAGTGTATATTTACCATTTACCAAGGGGAGTGTGAAAAGAAAATGTTGAGATCTTATCACCAGTATCATGGCTTGCAACACTACCCGTGTTGTGCACCAACTTGAATGCATTTGTAGCTGTTTCTACGCAGGCTTCACTAAACGGAGACTATTTAAAGGAACAGCGGCCAAACATAGGTGTGCTATTTGCGCTGGGAATTTGAACTATCCTATGGCCAAACACAACGTGGAACTACAGCATGGGAATGATGCAACTCTAAGAGTGTCAGGTATTGAAGGAAATAGCTTTGATGCCAGGAGTGGGAATAAAATCAAACCCTTCAAACAAAGAGAGGCTTATTGGATCGATGTTCTTAAGGCCACCACTTTCCCTGGTCTCACTGAAGATCTTGACCTTTCACCTCTCCTAAAATATTACGTGTTGCAAATTAAGATGTTTTTTTTTCCGTCTCCTTGAGTTGATTATCAGCTGAGTTATTTCCCTGTAACAGTCCCTTTCAGTGAGCTAAACGTGATTTCCCCCATTGGAGATACTGCAGATTTATATTGCTACTGCTTGAGTGCATCTGTGTTTGTGTTTAATCTCACTGGCTAATGTTGATCTAACTGTTTCCTGTTGTGGATTTGATCCTCCTTTGTCTACACCATCTTCACCTGAGAAAGGGTTTTGTAACAGCCTGTGACAAGGCTTGGCTGTTTTTGGTTTCCTGCATTGTATTTATTATGTGGTGCCCCGAGAGACAGCAGAGTGAGAATGATGCTGGTACTTAGTGTTGCACACCTGTGGTGACTGCAACCATAATTACACAGTTTCTTTGTGTTACCACACCCAAAGGACGGCACAAGCTGCTGTGTTTTTGTCTCTAGCCCACTGAAGTCATTCTTCCACCTCTCTTGACTGTCAGCTGACGGACTTAATCTGCTGACAAGTATCTTGTTGATCTTTTAAGGTCAGTCAGTTCAGTGCAGTCATGGCCCAAAGTTTGCTGAACATCGATAATGATTGATCAAATAAAGCACACGTCTGAAGAGACAATGCTTTGTTATAAACTGGTCCCATTTAGAAGTCACTGATAAAGTTGTCACCATCTTTCCTGACCCTTAGCCAAGTGCTTTAATTGACTTAAATACATTTATGAACACATGAATAATGTTTTATTTTAATAAATTATATTAGATTCAACTCAACTGTAATTGTACTAAAACAATGAAATGCAGTTAAGGAGTAATGATAAAAGTGCAGCCAGATGTAAAATGATTTAGTGAAGTAGCTTTCAGTGCTTATATATATATAGTATGAGCAGTATTAACAGTATACATGTGAGTATGCAAGATATATAAATATCCAAGATATGTAAGTACAGTGTATAGTATATGCAGCATTGGCAGATACAGTATGATATATCACCATGGAATAAACGCATATATAAATAGAATATGCTGCAGGTGATATAAGTGTGCTAGATAAATAACAATATGATAGATAAATGTAAGTATAAAAGGGATGATTGATATATATTATGACCAATTATGTCGCTCTGAATTTACCTGCAACACAAATGTTCGCTAACATACATAGAATTACTTTGCGATGTTTTTAAAAAAAAAAAATTAAGATGGCTTGATTATTTTCAATTATTTAAAGCTTCATAACTTTCTTTTCTAAATTCCTGACATAAAAACAATGTGGATCCCCAGTTATCAGGGATGTGTAGCCAACAGCAGTGAGGAATTTAAGCTAGCTAGCCCTACAGCATACTAGCATAGCACAAAATTATTAGTTTGACATAAACTCACTTTTTATTTTTTACTGCTAGTTAGTTATTATAAAATTGTATGATGATGATGATGATGATGATGAACTTCATTTATTAAAAATGTAGATTACAGAGAGTATTGAAAATGATTGTGGGCGTGTCCCCCTTACAAGTATATATTTTCATATATATTTTTTAAAATAAAAAGCACAGTTTTGTTCTGTCAACATATATCATTGAAATACTTCAACTTGCACATATTCATTTTATTTATTTTTTTTTGTTATTCCTGATTTCCTAAGACCAGGAATACGATTTCAATTTTATTTAAAGATTGACAGGACAGCTACCAACACTGAGACAATACCTGAAATTAAAAGTGACTACATCTAGTGGTCAGGACAACTGTACAATTTATTCCCATATTAATTTTTAATGAAACCAATATGATGTTATTAAATCATCTCACTGCAGATCGATTGATTGTATAATCATGTGATTGTTATTTTAATTTTTATGTACAGAGCGTGCTGAAATAATCAAATCGACGTCCTTCCTTGCAATCGATTGGTCCGCGCAACGTGACGGTCCTCGATAAGGAGCCAATGCAGCGACGCGCACACGCTGTCCGCGAGCCTCCCACGAGCGGTACACATCAGCATGGGACGCTCTCTCGCGCCCCAACAATAGAGTGGCGCGTACCATTATCGGCGAGGGCGGCGGGGGACGTCTCACCGCGAATTACCGTCTCGTCGCTGCCGTTACTCCGGGAAAATAAACCCACGTCGGCCGTGCGCGAAACCGACGCGTGTTTTTACTCTTACGAAACCTGTTGTCGTCCAAACCGGAGCAGATTGGACCCCGTTTCCGACCGACATCTTCGCGGAGAATCCCTTCGGAAGAAGCAGCGGCTGGGTTCTCCTCCGTCGCCGCCTCTTCCAGCAGGAGTGCGTTTGATATCAGCGGCGGAGCAACAGCCATGGAGCCGAGCCGGGGATTTAAATTGTCGGACACGGTGGCACGCTCTGCTGCTCACTGAGGATGGGAAGGAAATAAGAGGGATTTTAGCAAAACGTATCAGGTAAATATAAAAATAATAATTCTATCACTGTTTACTGCAGGCTTGTATTTAACTTGCGACTTTAGTGTTGCATCTCTGCCCAAGTTGGAGCCTGAAGCAGCGCTCACCGAGCTGCTGCTGCTGCTGCACTGGTAGCGGTTCTGGTAATCCAAGCCTGCCTGGCCATCACTGATCCCCACAGTAACCCGGTGTACAGGGGACGATCAACTCCAAAGTGGGCAGAATTCTAATTTTTTTTTAAAAGTGGCAGTCATTTTGGTCTTTATAATTACATAAAAGGACAAATTCATAACGGGACTGCTGAGTGGAAAAAAAAAAACAACCCTGCAGCTTCCACATCTGCATGAGCTCCCGCTGCAGCGTCCTGACACATGCAGGGTCTCATGCTGGGAGAGCAAAGGTTCACGGTGGCCCCACCATTTATGTAACGGGATTTTTAAAAAAACAAAACATCGCTGCTTTTTTGCTTTATTCGTCGCTGTCTGGGTGAGAGTTTCAGGTCGCTCCGGTGCGGATGAACCGCTGGCACATGAACCCGCTTCACTGACTTGCTGAGCGGAGGATAAGGGGCTGGGGTCTGTTCCAGCCAGCTTGGTTTGCAGTCATGGGGGGATGGTAGCCTTCAGCCCCAGTGAAAATCATGCTCTGTGAAATCCGAAACCTTCTTTGTACTACTTCAAGTGCAACAAGAAAAAAAAAGAAGTGGGCATGAGGAGCAGCGTGTTGTGCAGTTGCTGTGTGCGTGGGGACAACTTGGGGATGTTATTTGCATGATGCATGATGATGGAAGTGTGTGTGGTGGCCTACAGTACATTACAGGGACCATGTTTTCTGCAATGCACTTGGGGATGCTGCAAGGTAACTCTTCAGAGCAGCATATTTCCTGACTTGTGTCTTTAAATGCAGTAGTAAAGTAAGAACAGCCTGTAGTGAATTTGTATTTTTTTTGTTCAGATCTTTGGTTGCTGATGAATGAATTACCTTGGCTGCAGAGCCATTGATAAAAAGTCTATGCAAGCTGCTGTGCCTGCTGCTTGTGACAGCGGATGAGTGGAACCGCCTCTGATGTATTAAAATCACATTCAGATGTAATGATCATGCACGGGAGACACAAACAGATGTAGGATTTGGCTTCTTTAACAGCCGGATGAGGTTAAAGTATTACCCTCAGATCGGCTCTTTATTGTCCCACAAGAGAGAAACGGTTGAAGCTAAAATGATCGACTTGTTTATTTACACCGAAATGCGTCCAGAAGTTAGATAAGATTCTTAATTCAGATTCTACAGATTTGGTGCAGATGAGCCTTGATGAGTGGACATCATTTTAAGAAGTCGTGTGGAAAACACATAGGTGACTGTGTGTGAACGCACCCGTGACTCCTTTGACAAAATAGTCCGAGGGCCTTTTGCAGCTGTTAAGTTTATCAGCCCAGCAGTGGAATCCAGGCTATCACATGACTGAGCAGAAGCTATAGACTGGGTTTCACCGCCGCTCACAGGGGACCGTATATGTGCGTAGAGCGTTTGCCGTATTGGCCGGATTTAAAGTCGGTTTCAAGACACAATCTACTGCCTCTCCCTAAAATGACATTTACAGAAGCGGTGATCAAATTCACCCACGCTCTGCTCTAAGTGGATGTGTGCTGAAGGAGGCCTGCTGTGGTCCAGGATCACCGGTGCTGTTCTGTCTGAGGCTTTGTGTCTCTGTACGTGGTGTTTTTGAACAAAAGGATTAAACACAGGTGACAATTTTAAAAGAGTCTTGCAGAATAACCTGCTGTTTGATGCACAACTCTGTGTGAATGGTGCTTCTAGGATTTACCTGTTCTTTAATGGTCCTGCCTCCCAGAATAAAACTGAACATATTGCCATTTTATCTGAGGCTGCTGGTGAACTTTTTTTTTTGCTGCGAGGGATGACATTCCTGCACAGTTTGCTCTTCTCATGTTTTTTTGTGTGTTTCAAAGGCCCTCGTGATGGAACAGCTTTGGCATGCCTCCTGTGGAGGCTTTTGGACCTCTCTTATTTGTTGACATTACTCTGATCCTCTGCCAGTCTCTGGCTTTCTCATGCTCACAAGAAGAATATCTCTCTTTCTCTTTTTTTCCTCTTTTGTCTTTCTCCTCCGAGTTGGAGAGGGGTGATAGGAGGACACAGAATAACACAGGGCATAATGAAAGAGCGTGCAGAGAGCGAGAGGAGGATAAAAAGATGAGAGTGAAATGAATGATGCCTGCCTGGCAAGAGGAGGTGGGAGGAAGTAGGGCCAGGGATTCTGGGAAAAGCAGAGAGAGCGAAAATTAATGTGTGTGTGTGTGTGCGCAACGTGCAACGGCCATTTACGTGCCATTTAGTGGACCACAGACGGACCTCCTATCTCCCAGCTGTTAGGATGCTCCGCAGGGTCCGGCACACAGGAGCTATTGTTCCTCCTCTTGGCCAGGCCCACAGCTCCATAATGCTGCTTCTGTCCACGCTCTCAGCCGGTCTGACAGAGAGACACCAGTGCACAGTGTAGCCCGTCTGACTGGTGCTCCTTGTGTCTCACTGCCACTGCCTCCACCACTTCCCAGGAGTTTGTGTGTCTGTGTTTCTTAAACCTCTTTTTTTAACCTGCTTTTTGGTTATGGGATACTGTCCTCATTCTCTTGTTTGTTTTTGTATGTTCCAGTACTCCCCCCCCCTACAGCTCCAGGAATAGTCACAGCCTGCCTTATCCTAACACTTAATTCTTTGGCCTTATCTTGCTCTGGAACAAGGGCAGGAGACGATATCTGAAATAAAAAGTATTTCAAAGTTAATTATAACGGAGAGGAAAATGAAATCCGCGACTTCTTAGAGCCTTAAACACTTTATGAGAAGCGTAGATATTTAGTCACAGAGCACCATAACTTGATCTCTCGCCTAAAAATCAATATTTACCACTTAAACAGCTGTACAGTATCATACAGAAACCATTTCTTCTCGCTCTTCTTGCAGCGTTCCATCACCTTTATTTCACCTTATCATTTTCCTCATCTCTGCATCTTTTTCTTTCCCCACTATCATGTCTGTCCTCCCTCTCTCTCTGTCTCAAGTGGAAAGTAAACACGAGGAGTTATTTCCCGTCTCTATTCAATCACTTGTTCTCGCATCTTTTTCAGTCTCTCTGCCTTCGTGTACGTGTACAGCAGGTCCAGACTCACTGAGATGCTGCCAACGAGTCCGACCACAGCTGCTGTGTTTAAATACGAGAGTTCTGTCACTCAGCACATCGCTCAAGGCTCTGATGAGTTTTAGAAAGGATTTGGCTTGCTTTTATACAGTTGAGTCTAGCTGCATTTCATATCTGTCAGCTGCAGCTTGGGGAGTAGAAAGGGTACGCTCACGCTCTCCAGCTTGAAAAATAAATTTATTTGTTTAAGCAGAGAACTTTAGTGTCTTAACAGTCTATGGTACCGAGCTGATAACAAGGAAAGGGTTGGAGGCCCTGCAATATTAGGCTTAGAATATCCTGTTAACCTCCTCCTCTGCCTCTGAGGACTCCGCGCTGTATCCTGCATAAAGGATCCCTGACGACTGGTCTTTCAGTAATAGCTAGGTATTTGGGAAATGAAGCATCGTGGTGTCCTGTGACTGACCTGGCTTATGCTGCCAGCTGAAAGCCAAAATGAGCGACACAATGGAGTAAACTATGGGGCGTTGAGGCCACTCCTATGGTGTCATGTGTACATTTGGATGGCAAATGTAGTCTGATACCTTTTATTCAGCACAGTGCAGCCTTGATCTGATCTGGAGCCATGCACAGGTAGCATGTACAGCTATTTATGTGTATGTCCATGGTCAGGGTGTTTGTAATGAGCAAACTAGCTGAACTGTAGTGTACTTGCTCTTTTCTGTGTTTATCATTGGGTCTAAATGCTGACTCCTAAATGGTTTCTGCAGCTGCCTGTGTTTGGATTTGAATATTCAAAGTTGACCGAAGTAGTTAACTCCGTCACGATGGGGCAGCACAACAGCATCTTGTCTTTGTAAATCTTCTTCTTCTCTGCTCTCTTTCCGCTCTTTACCGATTGGTTCTCGTTAAGCCGGAACGGCCGACGGACGCCCCGGTCACTGTGGTCATGTGTCGTGATTGATGGGAGGCTGGAAAAATGGGAGGCGAGGCACGTTTATCACATCCACATCTTGAATCCCTCTTGTCAGGACTCGGATGTCTGTATTCAATTACAGACGTGCTGAATTTTCATCAGGATTTTTCACAAGCGGTGGTTTTTTTTCTTCTCTGTTCTTCGCCTTGTGCGAGGTGAGAGCACGAGGAAGGAGGTAGAGGAGGGAAAGACGCTGAAGGATTAGAGGCAAGAATGACAGAAAATAAAAGAAGCAGTGGGCTGTTTGTTGGTACATTATGTACTGCATCGTTTCTTTAGTTTATAGCCCTTCTCTTATCTTCTTTGTCATGCTTGCTGAGTATAAACTGTCTAAAAACCACAAAAAAAGAGGACAAGAGCGCCACTACAGCTTGTTAAAAGATGCTAAAGGGATCAGAAGAATGGGATGAGAAAGAAAAGGAGAGCAACAGGGGAAGTAGCATTTTGGTTTCCCAGTGCGTTTGTCCACGGCTTCGCAGCAGGGAGCGCCTGTGCACACCGTCAACTGCAGCCTTAAATTAGGAGCCAATATTTGGCTGTTCATTTACAGCTCACAGCAAGGATCCAGCTCTGCTCTGGATTTGCATGAGGCCCAAGCACAAGGCTCGTCTGATTTGTGCTGGATGGAAGCCCAGCAGAGGCTGTGAAATTTACTCACGGAAGTGGAGGCAAGCTCGCCTTTCCTTTGTCTTTGATAGCGAGCAGGAAATGCCAAATTCACTTCAATCCTCTGCAAGACAACCTGCCCCAAACCGTCGTACTGAGCAACCAGCCGATCGGCGTTATCGATGCTTATCATGCAGACATTCTATCAGCTGATCAGATAGCTCCAGAACAGGGGTCAGGTGGAGGTTAGGAAAGTCTAACAGG